GTGAGACCAGCAAACCATGATTGTCAAGTTTAAGTTGCAGTACCGATGCCAAGAGTGGCCTCAACGTACTCTGCGTATTTTCGTACATTAACACTCATTATCTAGGAATGGGAGTGTAGGAAGAGGCAGAAGAATGTGGACCTTGACAAGGTAGGAAACGACAGGCGGGCACCCCAGAGCAGCTCTGCTAAGCAGCCCTTCCTGTGAGGGGACAGTTCACGCACTCTCCATGCTCCCTAGGTGACGCTCGGGGGGACACTGGAGTTGAGTCTACTCCCCTTTTCTGAAATGACCCCTCTGGTGCTTAGAGGAACTGAACCCGTTGGTGAAGCCCCCGTCCCTCCAGCGCCTCCTCCTTTCCCCACCTGTGCAGAAGGAGAGGTGCAGAGCGCCTGGCTTACCTTGGCCCTGCATGGTTCCTACCTTCAAGTCAGACACACACGAAATCCGAGGGGCATGATGCTCCCAGCTCTCCAGAATGGTTTCATGGAATCAGGGGAAGCAAGACCCAAATCACTTTTTTTTTTTAATCTGTCCCTTCACCCTTCCACCCTTTCTTTAAATTCAAAGTGGCCCCAGAAAAGGAACACCTGGAAGAAGGGAAAGCAAGCCACCCACACGATTACCTACCCTGTGGGAAACTGATCTGGACTCGAGTTCCTCACATTCAGACATTTGTGCCTTCTCACTTGCTCACTGGTTTCTAACATTGTTTTATGTTTTCCAAAGGCATTAAAATATTCTTTTCCTAAATTTCAATGCTGCTGCGTGGTCTCCAGATAAATTCTCAAGTGTGCCATTACATACACGAGCATGGAATTAGGATCGTACCGTGAGGTTTCGGTTTTCAAGTCTTTTTAATCCTAGAGAAAGGAGTCCTCGCTTACACACTGAAAATCACAGCCAAACATATCAAAAGAAACCTGAAATGTACACACTCCTTGCTCATTAGGTATTAAGTGCCAGCCTGTTACATTTTATGAGTACGTTACAACAGATGCTCACAGAAACCCCTCTCACACGTTACAAGACTACCTGTTAATGTGTTGGATTAAATGTAAAAACGAAGTTCAAGTTACTATCCCATAAAAATGGGCTTTGGGGGTCAATGGTCTGTTTACAGGCATAGAAGTGGACTTCGTGGCGCTCCTGCCTGGGACAAACGTAGGCCAGCAGGTTCTGGAGGCTGGCTTTGGAGGCTTGCTCTGGAGGTAGAAATGAAATGGCTAAAACTTAACTAGAGCTGAAGTCAGTGTGGTAGTTTAGACTGGAGGCCCCCATCCCCCTGGCCAGAACCTTAACCAGTTTTCCTCCCAACCAACACACTTATTCATGTCTAAGAACCTAGCGTGAAAGGGACTGAGAAGTGTATTTAATGATTAATTCATGGGTTACTGCAAATGCCAACCAGTATCCAAGTGACTGGTTTGGCTGCAGGACACTAAGGAGCTGTGCAACGCGGTCAGCACGGACCCCATCCACAGTTCAGTGGGGGCTCAGAAAGCACAGACTGGCTTGTTTCAGCCCAAAGCCTTCAGGCAGACCTTTGCTCTGCATTTCCTGTGCTTTGCATCATAGGCCTCGTACCCTGAAATGCCTGGTTGGCAAAAAAAGAAAAAAAAAGAAAAAAAACTTCTTAGTCCGCTGCTCAAAAGCCACGCACCACCAAAACCAAAACATACGCTGAAATCAAATAAAATTTGGAGAAAAAAATATAGGTGGCTATTAAGTCCAACATACGTATTTATAACCCATGAGGCTCCGCTGAGGATTGAACGTGGCCCAGCGCTGACCACTGAGATCTGCTCCGAGCAGAGGAGCTTTCGGCGGCACCCTTACCGCGGCCTGCATGCTTCACAGGCGCTCCTTCAGGGGGCCTATGGTCCACTCCGCTTCTCTCCAGGACGGATCTCTTCCTCCGGAGGCCTTCTTCACAGGCCTGGTCACTCTGGTGTGGTGTTACTGCAAATGTATACTCACAGCACCACCTCCCCCTCTTACAAACCCCCCAGGCAGTGCGGGGAGGAATTCTGTCCCCATGTTGTAGCAGATCAGGATCGAGTTCATTTTCAATGACAGCTTCCCCCACTTTCTCTATCCTTCCCCAGGCCCATTCTCGGCTTCCCCCGCCACCTCGCCATTTCCCCGGCAGCTCCCTTGTCTTCACTAAAGTAGCTGCTGAAGTAAGATCCTGTTTCCATATGTGCAACTTCCACTTCTTCTGCTGAGTATCTAATGCACTTGTGTACGTCCAACAAACGTTACTGATGTTTAAACCATGGTATTTATGTGTATCTTCCACCCTTTATGCCCGCCTGTGTTATCGGACTTAGATTCTAAGCGCTCAGAAGGCGGGGTTTATGTTTGACATATTTGAGGCTGGAAAAGGCAGGATGGATATCAGGAGCATGAAAGATGTTTAGTAAAATGCCGCTTGCAAGTTAATGGGGAAGGAAGGGGATTGAAAGCAAAACAGGAGAGAGGAAGAAGAATCACACGAGGCCTTTAGTTTTGCTCTGGGTACCTCCGTGTGCCCTCACTCACCAGGAGGCCCACAGCGTATGGATCGCCCATCCCAGCATAATCACACAGATAACATTTTACATTTTCACAGTGCTTTGTGCTCCCTTCTCCAGGGTCATTTGCACACACGGTCACCTCCGATTCTCACAGTGAGGAACCCTAGGAGCGGGCAAGGGCGGCCCGTCTGTGCTTGGCTGATGGGGACAGTGAGGCCGGAGAAAGGACCCGACAAAGTGTAGGCTCTGAAAATGATCATCTCTCCAGACAGAATTGTCTCACATACTGACTCAGGCTTATAGCCCATGGTATTTCCGCTGGAACTTCGAAAACAGGAAAAAAGGAGAGACATAAAAATTTAACTTTCCGTTTTAGAGTGCCTCAAACAAACGGAACGCCAAAGCACACGGGATTAACGTGAGGACCCTCCTTTTAATCCATCACATCAGCTGAGCGTCTGCAGACCCGCGTGGGTGCGGCGCCCCGCATGACAGCGAGTCTGTCCTGAGGTGGGTGACGGGCAAAACTCCTCGTGGCAGGCGTTTGGAGACAACAAGGGCAAGCTGGGTGTGCTTTACCACCAACACCAGAGTGCTGGCCATCCCACGGGCCTGCTCACACCGCGCCCCGCCAGTCACCACAGGTTCTCTTTGGTCATGACACTGGATTAAAAGTGTATCGATTCTAAGAACAATACAGGCCAAACCCTTTTGTGCTCATTTGAAAGGCATCACAGGCGCCCTCGCGGCCCCTTTAGGAGAGATGCCCATTGCTTCAGTGTGCAAAGGAGGTCACCGGTTTTAGGTGCAAACACTTACCACACTGGGCAGAAAGGGAGAAGAGGGGCCTGCGTTTATTTAGTCCACTTGCCGTCACACGATTCGAATTCACTGTACGGTGTCCATAATACAACTCTGCTCGAATGTCTGGAATTCTTAACACATTTAGGAAACCTGGTATTTCTCAGTGACCCACAAAGAGAATGCTCCGCTCTGAGTATTAAACTAAGACTGAGGGTCGGAAATCAAGCCCCGGAGGGGTCTTCCCTCCCACGTTCTCGGAGCTCGCGAGCGCTGCCTGAAAAGGAGTCCCTTTCTTTAACTAACATCGTTTGGAGACTTAATCCCCTGCTGCCCTCCTCTCTCAGACGCATACAGATGAAGAGGGGCCGCGTTTTCGCTTCCCAGAGCCCCCTTGCCCTGCATTGTAAGGCTGTGGCACGCTTAATGGACGAAGTGCTAAAACTCGGCTCGGGAACAATGATTCCACTGCGGAAACCTGTCAGCTGTCTCAGGGCCCTTAACGTGTGGCACAGATGTTGACCAGAGCCCCCCCCCAATTCTGCCTGCTTGTCTGTGCTTTAAAGTATTAACTGATATAATAAAAAAGGACTCAGAGAAGCAATGGGTTACCTACGTCTGTTTAGCGTCTGAGCGTCACTCAGGTACCAGAAAACCAAATGGCTCCTGCTGTTCCATTCCTCACTCTAATTGGGGAAGTGTGGAAATCGTGACTTTTGGAGTTAACCTCAACGGAGGTGATACCCCCTGTCCAGCCCACAGCACACAGATGGTTTCAGCAGTCACTCAACAGAGTCAAGTGCCATGAAATCGGCCACTAGGAGCAACCCTCTCCTTTCCCTTGTTCCCCAAGCTCTCCTTTGCGGTTCTTGATTGAGCAGAGAGAGGCAGGCAAGAACTCAGTTTCCTTTCTGGGTCTTGAACACACAGAGAATGTGATTACTGGGAATGAACTGAAAAATCACAATTTGGTGGTCCTAGGAACGTTTACACGTAACTTTTGCTTACGTGAGATTTCTCATTCAAACAGAATTTGTGGGCAACTCATCAGCAAAGCACAAGGATGGGCTGGGACCCCCCCAAAACCTCATTCTACAGGACTGGCCTTGAAGATGACGTGCACCGGAGTGGGGTGCTCTCAGGTGCTCCGCGTGCCCAATTAAAGAACAGCAAATACAATTAATCATGTAAAGCTAAACTTGGACATGTATTTTTGAATAACCAAATAAATAGTAAGCTTCCCCCTCCCCCATTTGGGAGGGTTTTTTTTTTTTTTTTCTTTTTCTTTCTAGAACACAACAAAACCTTCAACATACTCTTCCACTGAAAAAGCCAAAGCTGGTTTCACAGACGAAGGTGAAGGGCCTCGGAGCTGTAGCACCAGAAGTAGGAGGGGAAGTACAGGCGATGGCTTCGTTTGGAATCATCAGGCTCTACAATCTATCATTTGGTTTCTCACTAGTAGCTTTTTCAATTCCCCAACAGTCTTAGTATCCTTGCTGTTAATAGTACTAGTAAAATAAGTTCCTATGAGAAAAAGAGGGAAATAAGCTGTTAATAAAACGTCTTCAAATCTCTTCTCTCCGAAAACAAAGCAGCAGGTTCATCGGACAAACCAGCCTCCAACACGTCTTCCCGCGGAAACGCTGGACTCCTTTCGGCTCTACACGTTCTATACATTTCCATCTTTTGCCGCGAGAAAGGAGACTAACGCAGGAATTCTGTTAGCTGCGGTTTGTGGTTGGTCTTTCGGGAAGTGCTGCTGGCTTTTGGCCAAAAAGTACAGAAATCTCGACTGAACCCAAGCGGTCGCGACACCGCCAACCCATTACAAGCTCCGTGAGCTGCCGCGTGACTCATGGCATCTTCTCAGATTGCAACTTGCTCCCTTCCGCGGGGCCCCGGTCCTCGCGCAGACAGCCCCGCGGCTGGTTTCCTGTGAGTCTTGCTTCCACGGGAAGCGGATACTTGGCAAAGGTACAAGGCGAGGCCCATCAGCTGTGGAAGTTGTGCACGGCGGTCTGTTTTTGGGAGAGCCGCAGGAGCTCCTCGCGGATCGCCTTGATGAGCGAGGCCGAGGAGTGGCTGGGCTGCAGGTCCTCCGTGGAGCTGGTGGCGTAGGCCAGCCCGGCGCTCTGCAGCCCCCTGTGCGGGGCGCTCCCGGGCGGCGCCGAGGGCTCCCTGCCTGAAGTCCTTGGCACCTGGAACAGCGGTGAAGAAGAATACTCCTGATGTCCGAGCACGTGTGTCTGAAAAACACGGCACAGGGCGCTGTACTTCCCACGCGAGAACGGGCGGGGGCGGGCGGAGGGTGGCAATCAAATTCAAACTGGCGGTGGGCACGCTCCCAGGCCTTCCTCCTTCCGTCTCCCACCCAACAAGTCAACCCTCCGCTAGGACCCGCCCCTGCCCGGGGGCTGGAAGGGAGGGTAACAACTGTGGCAAAATTGGTCGAGGGGGAGCTGGGCAATAAACTCTTGCACTTAACAGGTGCCTCATAAATACTTGCTTAATGACAGAACGAATGACCCAGTCAGCCAAGTCTCTGTCTGCGTGTGTGCCGCTAAGTGGCCAAGGGGCGAACAGGAAGGGACACAGAGCGCTGGAAAGGGAGGGAGAGCGGAGTACCCCGTGGAGGTGAGAGGTCAGATGGGGGTACCTGAGCGTTGAAAGAGATAAGCAGGTACTGGCAGAGGGACTGACAAAGACGTCAGCTGCCTTTGCCCTGGGAAGAGCGCCCAGGAGCCACAGAACAGGAGCAAGGTCACAAATCATTTGCCATTTCATCTGTCTACGGAGTGCTCTGCAGGGCCTTTTCCGTAAAAAGGTTCTGCACTGAAACATGCAACAGTTTTGCTTATATTTGCATAATATAATTGGACATACAGTTGACAAAAGTAATCATTTTTACTTTGCAGTGACTTTTTTCACATTTGTTTCCAGTGAAAAATCTCTTTGTACACACATGCATGGGTTAGAACCCACGCATACATATACGTAGGTGGGACCTGGGGTTTTACCTACGCTAAGAGTAAGCTGTCAGCCTGGTGCCCGGGGCGCCCCAGCCCACATAGTGGCAGGGAGGCGCTCTGCAGTGGCCACTGGATTGGACAGGAAAACCCAAACACCTCGTGAAACCAAGTTGGCTCAATGAAGGCAGCAAAAGAAAAATGTCAGCAAGTACAAAGCAAACACCTGAGATTTATAACAATGTATCTTTTAGGAAAAAATTACACTCTACAGTTAATTTCCTTTCGTTAAGTAAAAGCATCCACTTGCTAAAAAGGCACATAAATGCAATGAGAGTTGCAGCATAATGAGGAGGAGAAAACAAAAAGTATTATTTTGATTTATATTTTCAAATTCACATATTTATCCCCCATGGAGCTTTAAAAAAAAAAAAGGAAAGCAATTGTAGAAACTACCTGTGTCTGTAGTGATTCTGCTCTTACAAAGGAGCGATCAGTGTGAGGAGAAACCTCCAGAACAAACCCTGTGCCTTGAAACACCCCAAACGGCCTGCTTACGGCAGAAGTACCTATTCGTGGTGCTCATAATGGATATGATGCTAACGAACCCCCAGCAAAGCACAAGCAGTGAGCAAGGGGGGACGTAAGCACGTGAGTATTTATACAGCGGTCACGCCAAGGACCAAGTCCAGATTTCAGTCACCTACAGGTTCAAATTCACGATTTAAAAGTCAAAATCACAGAGACAGACAGCAGAATGGTGGCTGCCTGGAACTGGGGAGAGGGACAAACCGGGAAGCTGGTGTTTAGTAAGGACAGAGTTTCAGTTTTACAAGATGAAAAAAGCTCTGGTGATGGATGGTAGTATTGGTCGCAAGCCAGGAGGGATGTGTTGAAAACCAGTGAACTGTACTTAAAAACGGTTAAGATGGTAAACTTTATGTGATGTGCATTTTACCACAATAAAAACTGGAAAAAAAAATTTTTTTTAACTATTTTTTAGGTCTCTGTCCAGATTTTCTGTAATGCATAGACCTTTATTATTTTTTTTTGAAAGGTTATTTTTTAAAAACCATGACTTCCAGCCTAAAATCTGCCTCAAGGAAAATTATATCCCGTTCAAAAGCTCGATGCCAATACCCTCCCACTGTGGGTCAGAGGAAATCTACCATCTAAAAACTGCAAGCAAAAATACACTCGAGGGGAAAACAAACTGAGGGAGCTTACACCTTTAATTCATGCAGCTTTTTAAAAGGGATCCCCAAAGCAGCAGCAGCTGAATTAAGTGATCATGTCTGAATCCCCGGTGGTGACCCCACCCCCAGATACTCACGGCCTCTCTTCGGCCCGCCTCGTCCTCCCCGTACGAAGGCCAGCCTTGCCCCCCGTACTGGCCGCCTCTGCTTGGTGGGATTTCCACGGGCTGGGCCCCGATTCTGCTCGCAATGCCCACCTGCGTCAGGTGCTGGATCTGGGAGCCTGAAGGAACAAAATGGAACGACCTGGTCAACACAGGCTGGAGAGGAAAGCTGCCCAATAAGGCCCTTCGGCTGTGACCGCCAACTTCACAGGGACAGAGACATGTTTCCTAGTAAAACCAGACCGTGAACTTCTTGGTTTACAAGCTTTTATTTCCTTTTAATAGAGTGGCTCATACTGATGGTCTTATTTCCCTGGCTGGATGCCAAAGGATTGGGCATAAAGGGTAGAACTAAATGGCCCTTCCATTCATTTCTGCAGAGGATGCAAATAAGGACAATCTTATTTACTGTGAAGAAAGAACTGAAAGGTTTTGGAGCCATAAAGAAGCTAAAGCCTGCCTCCTCCTTGCCTGTGGCTTCAAGACTCACAAGGAGCCCAAAACACAATCTGCTTTTTTCTTTAAAGGCAGCGTGTGTATTTATGTGAATTCAAAATGTTAAAGTGTATTTTCACTATACCCAGTGTTTCCATAACTCAGCTATATCTCAATTAAAACTTTAAACCTGCCCACCCAACCTATGGGTGAGAGTTACTGATGGCAAAAACAGAAAGTTCTCTGAGCTCGCTCCCCTACATTTACATGTGCTATAGCCTCGTGTGGCTGGGAAGACTGGGCTTTAACCAACATATTTTTCTTCCCCATCGACTTTCGGCATGAGGAAACATCCCTATTCTGCTGATTAAGGGAGGGGGAAAAGTGATCTTAAAGCACTGTGCAATAAAAGTACTTATTGCCACATGCCCCTCTGATCATCAAACGCATCTGTGATGCTCAGACTGGTCTTAAAACAGTTCCAGGATTTCACAGAGGCAAGGGGGGTGGCCCTCTCCAGCTTCCAGTCCCCTGCTCCTCTAACTGGCTAATTAACAGCCTCCCTTAATCAAATACATTTAAAAACAAAAAAACAAAAACAAAAACTCCTCTGCAGGTTTATCAGGATATACAGTAAAACCTAAAAACTAAAGGTCAGGCAGGAAAAAAAACAAACAACCCTTCCTGGCCCATCAGAACAGTGCACTCTGTACTCTGCAGGCGACCTTGTCAGTCACTGATGATCCATAACAGTATTAAAGTGATCGGGACTATCAGCTCTGTTTGCCCAACAGACATCGTTGGAGCGAATCTTGCAAAGAACATAAATGCAGCACACAGTTTTCTTCACCATTTACAAAGATTCAGGCAACTGCATAGGGAGAAAAGAATACCTTTGTGTTAACGCGGTGATGGTAGTTGGAATCGTATTTCAGACACAGTTTGTATCTTGCTTTGTTCACTCAGCGATACAACGCACAGGCTTCCCCCATGACCCAACGTGGGGCCTCGTGCCTAACAAGTCGGGTCTGCATTCTAGCCCGGCCATGGACAAGCCTCGGGACCCTGGGTACCCGGCTCTCACTCCCGCTGAGCCTCAATGCCTCACTTCTCAAATGGGATAAAAAAATAAACCTACCCCGTGGTGTTATTTCAAGGATTAGAAGAGATAAAGTAGGTCAAGTACCAAACACAAAGGAGGCAACCTGGGAAACTTAAATTCCCTTTTGCTGGCTCTTTCTGAGATCTTTTTATGGAGCCACACAATTTCCTCACTGGTGCCCTTCTTACTGGGTATTTAGGGAGCTCACAATTATTTGTGAATAATGCTCTGATAAATATCTCTGCACATGCAGTTTTTCTCCAATGTTGTGTATTTCTCTGGGGAGTGGCAGCCTGGATTCCCACAAGTGGAATTACCAAATCAAAAGTTCATTAACGTCCTTGCCAAACCGCTTTCCAAAAGGCTAATGATGTACATGAACACCAGAAATATAATGACAGTAACAATAATGGCAGCTAATACTTATTAAAAGTTTCTCATGTGCTAGGCACTGTTTTCAGCATTTGATGTCTGTTATCTTCTTGAATCATCAAAACAACCATAGGAAGTAAGTGCTACTGTGTCCCCATTGTGTACTGGGGATAAAGAAACCGGATGCTGATTTCACCACTATGGCAACAACCCCATGATTGAAATGGTGCCTCATCACAGGTTTAATCTGCCTATCTTTAATTATTTTCAAAATGGGGTGTTTTTTATTATGTTTACCTTCATATGGCACACACGTACTTTTCGTGCATTTTCTTCCTTTATTTTGACCATTTATCTTTGTCCTTCTGAGATTTGTCCATTTATCAACTTACATGAGCCATCCTCTATAATAAAAATACCTCTTGGTCACATCTGCTGTAAGTCTTCCCTAAGTATTATTTTGCTTTTGTTTCTTTTTAGATTTTTAGATATACGCGTTTGGTAATTTTACATAGTCAGAATGGGAACCCTTTTCACATATCTTAATATTTTTCCCAACACAAATTTTTACACAGTGTAATCTCTCTTTAGAAAGTATTAGAAAATAACTTCCTCTTCAAATGTTTCATACATGTCATTTCTGTATTCTTGTAGATTAAAGATGAATAGGTTTGAATTGTTTAGAATATGTGCTGGGCAACAATTAACAAAAGAAACAAGACTCACTGCATAGCACAGCACCTGCGAAGTATGGGAAGTCCTGTCGGATTTCCAAAAAGCAGGAGCCCTCTAGTTCAGAAATGCAAGCTCGACACCACACGTACCTGTGGTGCCCCCGACAGGCCGAGGCCGAGCCACCGACGGCATGTCCTCAGAGTAGATCCCTCGGGCAGCAAACGGGGCTTCAGCCGATGCCAGGGGCTGCTGGGGCTCGGGAGGCACCAGCTCCGAAGACTGCAGCAAACTGGGGCCAAAACCGGGTCTGAAAGCAAAGCACACCGAACGTCAGGACCACTCGGAACCCCGGTTCTCGTATTTGATTAGGTGCACCCTCAGCACCCCCAGAAAAATAAGAGCTATCGGTCTACAGGCTCTCTGTCCACTTTCTGTCTGCTCACTGCCGAGTCTCCTGGCCTGAGGTCAGCGTTAGCTGATGCCTGAAGTATCTCTGCAGGATGATGAAAGAAGAAATGCTTTTGTTTACAGGTCAAAAGAGGGTACAGTCAAGTTCTAGGGCCAGCTCACCTCCAGCGTGTGACTAAAGCGGCAGATAGCAAGTCTGGCGACACGTTAGCAACACCTGGGGAGCTTTTAAAAGCCCCAATGCCCATGCTGTGCCCCAAGACCAAGTCAAACAGACACTAGGAGGTGGGACCCAGACGTGTGTAGTTTTTAAGCTACACGGGTGACCCCGAAGTTCACTGAGGCTGAAAACCAGTGCTCAAAAGTAGCGCTGTTCTTAAACTTTGTGGCCTCTGAATCTCTGAACATTCATATAAAATATTAAGGATTCCCAAGAGCTTTTATTTATGGGCATTATATCTATAGATACTTACTGTACTTGAAAGCAAAACTGAGAAATTTATAAATGCTATTTTAAAAATTCATTGAAAACAACAATATTAAATGTATTACATGTTAACACTTCTCGTGAAATGAACTGTATTTCCCACCCCCGAAAAATTAGTGAGAAGAGTTTTACATCTTTTTCAAATTTCCTTGATAGAAGACATCTGGATTCTCATATACTTTATTTAATCAGTTGCCATAAACATGCAGTTGGAAAGGGAGGGATATTTTAATAGCCTTTTCAGATAATTCTCAAATAATATTTCAGATATTCTTCTTCAATAGCACACCAAACTCAAGAAAGCATTTTTAAGGGTTTAGTGGCAATGTGGAATATAAAACAGTAACAACAAACTTTTCATATTCTGTTAGATTAAAACCCACCGGACTATCTTGCACTTGGAATGGACGCACGCATTTTATGACATAGTCATTTGGAAAGTATTTGTTCACTGTGTTCTGCAGACTTTCTAGATATTGATACATTTCATTTTATGGTATTAAAAAAAAAAATCACACTCATCACTATCACCACCGAGCTCATCAGAGGAGTTTTTAAGCACCAGGACACTGTCAAGTTCAGGGTGGCAGATAAAAGTTTCCAAAACTCTGACTTTTCACTTGGAAGCTCAGTTTTATCACTGGTGGCAGATGCTGTCAGTTGTTTTTCTTGAAGTGATGGGCCCTCCCTGTTCACTTTCAAGACAGCGTCTGCTGAACACCCACGTCTGAACAGTGACGCCTGTCCGTTGCTGGTTCAAGTGAAAACGTGGCAGCAGTTAAACCCGACTAAACACAGCTTGTCCTTCAAAATTCCATATTCAGCCAAGTGCTTTATGTGTACTTCCTCTTTTGTCACACAAGCTAGTAAAGACTCAAGGGTTTCGGTTTAATAAAATTAAATCACTTTTACTACACCATCAAGGACACGCTAACAAAACTGGCATTATTTTTTTTTTTAGAAATGGCGATTGGACACTGGTGAGGAATACAGTAACTCCAACAGTTTGGTGCCACTGCTTTGTTTGATGCTAAGGCGCCTGCACCCACCACGGCTTTTGCACCTCAGTGCAAACGTGGACACAACCGAAAGCATCAGATAACATTAGTGTTACTGTGAAAATAGTTTTGACCTCACAGACTCCCTAAAAGGGTCGCAAGGATCCTCCAGGGCTCTCAGAATCCCTCTTGAGAATCACTCCTCTAAAAAAAATTTCAAGAATTAAAAAAAGATGATAGTCTAAGGACAATTCTTTGCAAATAACAGTCAACCAGGAATTACTAGCTCCAACCAGTTCTACGAGAAAGCAGACTGGCTGGCCCTTATTCTAGTGTTATTTCTGGAGTGTATCCCAGCGGCGACACCTCAGCCATCTGTATTCCTCCTCTAAATAACTGCTGCTGTTCCAGATGCACCTCAGAGAGCGACAGCTGGCATCTCTGACCTAACAGATCTGAAGCTTAACACAAGGTAAGGTCTGCACCCTGGAGCTCACCGGACCTCATTATATCCTCTGGACCAACCGCCCAGGAAGTAACTCTCTCCCTTTACCTAATGACATCCACTTGACCCCAGCCAGTTAGCCCCCTGCTGCCTCAATTTGCAGCCCTTTTATCCTAAAGTGTGTGCTCAGGTAGTTCAGTATGATCCAAATACTCTGGATCCCTTTAACCTGGGTGATCATAAAGTTTATCATCCAAACCAGAACACTTCGGAGAGTGGAAGTTATTAATAGTTATGCAGGACAACAGGTATAAACTGGAACAGAACTGGGTGAACCAGCTCCCACGGTCCCCTGGCACTCACTCCGCCCTGATCACCTGAGCTCCACGTGCTCCCTTTGCCTGTGTTGTTGTGGACCACAAAGCAGCGCCTGGGTGGGGGAGTGCGGCTGGAGAGGAATAAAACAAGCCACGCTGAAAATGAGGGAGAACACAGAAAGCTGATAGAAAAATAAAGAGGAAGCAGATACAGCATTCCTACTTCGAGGTGACTCCTGGCCACGCATAGTTGAGTGTAATGTCTGAGATTGTTTTTCTGCAATTCCTTCTTTTTAATAACTCAACTGTCCGCTCATGTATGGGTCTGTTTACAGACTTTCTCGTCTATCCCACTGGTCTTTTTGTCTAGCTTTACAGAAATACCACACTGTCTTAATTACTTGACAATGATATGTAATATTTAGAATAGTCCTAACATCTTACTCTTCTTTCTTAGCGGTCTTGGGTATTCTTGGTCCTTTGCATTTCCACATAAATTTTAGAATCAGCTTGTCAGTTTCTATGAATTAAAAAAACAACTACTGAGATTTTCAATGTGGCAGCAATGAAACTGTTGATCACTTGGGAAGAACTCACCTCTGAAAAATACTAAGTGTTCAGTCCGTGAACATCTTTCTTTGGGGGGCTTGAATATCTTTGGTTATATTTATTCTGAGGTATTTTATATTTTTGAATGGCATTTTATATAGTATCTTTAAATTTTATTTTCTGCCTATTGCTCATAAACATAAATCCAAGAGATTTTTGTAAACTCATCTTGTATCCAGCCGCCCTATAATTTCGCAATCTTGCTATTTAGCCACTTGCTAAATTTCCTTCATCCTAACAATTTATGTATTGACATTTTAGGATTTCCAGCCACAAATTTACATCACCTGTGAATAGTAACTGTATTATTTCTATCTTTGAATTCCTTAATCTTTCTTTTTCTTGCCTTACTATGCTGGATAGGTTCCCCAGGGCAGTGAATAAAAGTAATATAAGCAGGAATCTTTGTCTGCTCAGGGTCTGAGAGGGAAAACTTTTTACATTTCACCAAGACAACTTTTATTACTTTGTATCTCGTTTTTGTTTGCCAAGATTGTTACCAAAAATGGATGTTAAATTTCATCAAATGCTGCATCTATTGAGATGAAAAGATTTTCCTCCATTATTCTACTCAAAAGTCGTGAATTATACGGATTGATTTTTTTAAATACTAAATCACCTTTGCACTGCTGGGGTAAATCCACTTTGGTTATGATACGGTATCTTTCTGTATATACTGCTGAATATGTTTGCTAATATTTAGTTTTGAGTTTGCTGCATTTGCTGTGTTCATAAGTGAAATAGGCCCTTAATGTTTCCTTTCTTGCGATGTCCTTGTCCTTCCTGTGTTGTCCTTGGTGTCAAGGTCATGCCAGCTTCGTTTTCTACTGCTCAGGAGACTGCGCATGGCGACTCGGGCGTCTCTTCTTCCCTTGGTGTTTGGTAGGATTCGCTGTTGACGCTGCCTGGGCCCAGAGTTTTCTTTATGAGAAGAAGTTTAATTACGATTTCAATTTCTTTAATAGCTGTCTGATTATTCAGGTTTTCCCTGTCGAGGAATTTTTCCATTTCAAATTTATTAAAATGTGTTCATCACATCCTTTTAGTGTCTGAAAACCTTTTTAAAATCTGTTAAGATCGTTTTAATTTCTGTAATATCTGGATATGTCCTTTTTAATTTCTCACACTGATAACTCACAGATTTGATCAAGTTCTCTGATGCTTTATCAGTTTTATTAGCTTTTTCAAAGAACTTTCAGTTTTGTTCATCCTCTCTATTATGGCACTGATTTTCCATTTCACTGATTTCTATTCTTATTATTTTCTTCCTTCTACTTCCTTTAGGTTTAATTGGGTCTTTCTTTAACATCTTGAAATGGAAGCTTAAATCATTAATGTTCAGCCACTTTTTCTTTTCAAGTATATGCATTTAAGACATCAAATTCCCCCTTACATGGCTTTCAATGCATCCCACAACTTTTGACATGTTGTATTTTCATTAACTATTCATTTCAAGGTGTATTTTAATCTCCAATGTGATTTCTTCAGTGTACAATGGTTACCTCGAAGGGTACTGATAAATATGCAAACATATAAGGATTTTCTAGTTTTCTCTCATTGATTCCTAACTTAATTTTACTATACTCGGCAAATATACTCTGAGTGATTTCAATTCTTTGAAATTTGTTAAGCTATATTTTGGCCCAACAAATGGTAAAATTTTTAAAATCTTTTATTTTAAAAGTATGTGTATTTTGGGGTTATTGAGTTGTGTTCTATATGTGTCAAGTAGGTCAAATTAATTAAATCATGTTTGTCACGTTTCCTATATCCTTTCTGTATTTTTTTGTCTCTTGTAAGCCAAACTTTTTCAAATTCAGTTGGACACCTAAGCCTGGCTGTGTGTGTCTATGTGCTCGACCTCATGCAAAACAATAATGGTAATGGGAGGCCTACTATGACAGCACCTCCTTGTGCAGGAGAATGGCTTTTATTTCAGCCAGGCAGCTGGAGGGACGAACAACGCCTGGTCCCCTCAATCCAATCAGGGAGTCAGATCATGCGAAGCTGAGTTTTAGTTCTTGCAGGGACCCATCTACTTACCGTTAGCCCTGACTCCAAGGAATAACCCCCCAGGGCCTGAACCCAGACCTGCGGCTGTTTACAAGCGCCTCCCCGCCTTGTCTGTCCCCCCCACCCCGCAAGTCTGCCAAAAGCTTTGCTCAGCTTCTCAGCCGCCTCCCCCGACGTCGGCAGGTGGCCCTGGGAGACAGTGGCCCAAAAGGCAGGGCCGCCTCTCTGGATTTGCTAGATCTTGGCCCCATACCACTTCCCTGACCTGTTAGCTCTCTGGGTTTCATATTTTTAGTTTTCAGTCTTGTCTAACTTTTCCAGTTGTCCTCTGCAAACTACTTAGTCTGGTGTCACTGGAAGCAGAACTTCAATTCTAACTTTCTTCTCCTCTTCTGGTTACAGCAAGAAAATAAAACTCACAGTTCTGCATCTGCTCACATTAGCTACGAAAATGAGTTATAGAATTAAACAAAAACAAACAAACAAATAAATAAATATTCCTACGTGAGGAGGTCCTATTACATTTTCTCCTGAAAACTCTACCTTGGCAGTGGGCCTGGAGGGGGCGCCATTCCGTAGTCTTCGTATCTCTGGAAGAAATTCAAAACAAGATGAAGATTAACAGTCAATACTTATTAGAAGGTGACAACAGCAAACTTATAAATTTAGGTTTACGGGATCAACTTCCAAGGGAATTGTTCTCTCATAAAAAGTGAGCATGCGTTGGGGGCATTCTGCCAGCAAGTAATGTCAGGAGTTTGCTTGGAGAACTGGGCTCCCAGACTTTAAAAAACACACAATTAATTTCTAGACCTTTCTTTCTTTAATAAAAATATAAATAGTAGGATTTCTGTGCCTGCTCTTCCATACAGGCACATTTTCTATAAATCTGTATCTTCTGCTAAAAAGGCAGGCAGGAGTGGCCCACTTTTATTACAAATGCCTCTATCAACCTCGGCCAATAAGTAAGCAAAAAAAACAAACAAATGCAAGTTCCAAAAAATGAGCATACATAAAAGACAACCTGGTCTAGGAGCAAATACAAGTAACAGTCAGATTCTTCACAAGTACTTTGAAGTATAAAAATAGCAATTTTTTTTAAGCTCAACAATGAGATGATAAAACAACATAATGACCTGAAATGGGAGACCAAAGATGGTGGAAATAATTTGAGGACCAAAATAATGCCATTGTGACTCTAAGAAATCAACTAGCAGGGAGAAGTACAGACATAGTTTAAAATCGAATTAACGTCACAGAGAAAGGGCCCATGAGAATCATAATGAAGACAGAGGGAAAAGGACAAAGTAGCTAAAGCAACCGGAGATAAAGCGGTAGAGAGAGAAAACAGACAAAGACGAGCCAACAGAGATAAGTGCTGTCCTCGACTCCGATAAGTGGAACAGGGTGAGAAAATAATTTCAGAACTAAAACAGAGTTTTCCTGAATTGAATGAAAGAGCTGAATCTGAAGATAAACTGAACACTGGTTATCGGGGAGGGGTGGGAGAATGAAAACTTACGAAGTGCCAAGAACTATTTAGGCTCCCAAGCAGATCGGGCATGTACATCCCCTACAAGAAAGGGGGGACACACAGATGCCCACAGAATTCTTCACAGAAAACGCAAGGCACATTGGGAGCAGAGAGAGGTGAGATGTAGAGGCCAGCAGCACACAAGTTCAAGTCAGAAAGGGAGAACTCAAAACACTAATTCAAAGGAACAGGTGCATCTCTATGTTCATCGCAGCATTACTTACAATAGCCAACATATGGAAGCAGCCCAAGTGCCCATCAGTAGATGAGAGGATAAAAAAGCTGTGGCACATATGCACAGTGGAGTATCACTTGGCCATAAAAAAGACTTAAATCTTACCATTTCCCACAGCACAGACGGACCCAGAGGGTACTAGGCTAAGTGAAATAAGCCAGTCAGAGAAAGGCAAATCCCATATGATTTCACTTATATGTAGAATATGATGAATAATATAAACGAACAAACAAAACAGAAACAGGCTCATAGATACAGAGAATAGACTGGTGGCTGCCAGAGGGGAGGGGGGGCTGGAGGGATGGGTGAAAAAGGTGAAGGGATTGAGAAGAACAGACGTGTTGTTACAAAATAGTCATGGGGATGTAGAATACAGCACAGGGATTATAATCAACAGTATTGCAGTAACTGTACGTGGTGCCCGGTGGGTACCGAAAGTATCAGAGGGAACACTATGTGAAGTATAGGATTGTCTAACCACTCTGCTGTACACTTGTAACTCATATGATATAGCATTGACTGGAAACTGTCATTGAAAAAAATAAATTAATAAAAATAGAGAGTGAACTCAAGCTAAGAGGCTCCTGGTAGGTCTTCCTCCGCATTCCAGGGCCGCCTGTCGCCCACAGGATTCACCTTGTGTTGGCCCCTCAGCACGACGGCCTGGGCAACAGCGATGAACAGCATTTTACCTGCCAGCCGCCACCCCAACGTCCTATGATCAAGACCAGGGGCAAGGAGACAACAGGAAGTCCTCCCTATGATCCTGGTGCAAGACGGCGGTGGCTCTGACTGGCACTTAATGCAGCGGCAGGACTTCGAGGGGGAGGATCTACAGAGCTCCAGGCTAGAGCGTGCTACAAGGCCCATACTCACGCTGCCGCAGGGGTTGTTGGCCGTCTGAGCTGGGCTGTAGAAGGACCCCCACTGGGTGGCTCGTCTCTCTTCCCGGGAAGGGGTGCTGTTCACGGGCAGGCCGGCCGGGACGCCGGGGCCTGCCGCCGCAGCGCTGGCGGGCTGGCCGCTGGGGGCCACCAGGGCAAAAGCGTCGTCCAGGAGGGAGTGCATGGTCTGGCGCGCCTCCTCGATGGACGGCTGCGGCAGGACGTACTGGGGCGCCGGGAAGGGCAGGCCTGGGTAGCGGCCCAGCTCAGCAGAAGACGGCGTCTGCGCATCTGCCGGGAGGTCGGGGTCGGACTGCAGCGGGGGACACAGCAAAGGAAGGAAGAGTCAGACATGCGCATCGGTGGCGACCTGAAGACAAAACTCTATGTAGGGCCAGAACAGAATCGAACAATTCTCACTGGCGTGGAAGGGAAGGTTTCCCATAAGACTTTTTGAGATGACACCCAAGGAAAGCGTGTTAGCTCTCAAAGGTGCAAAAAAAGTGTGAATCAGGAATAAAGGGGAAAAAGAAAAACGGTCAATAATCATTTGTCTGGAAAAACCCACACACTATCTGAAATGCATTTCAGTACCTAGAAGGACGGCATTTTTATTGAAAGGCCCTACGGAATCAAAACTGATGCCTCAGAGTCTACTTACTACAATGCCTCGTCAACCTCCCATAGATACAGAAACCAAAAACTAAAGCAGTCTACGGACAGTTAACAACGGGAAAAAAGAGTCCTACACACCCCCAAAAGAGTTCAAACTCACCGCCATTATTTCAACTGTGTGTATATATAATATGAATACCTATTATGACAATAGTTTACAACAGTAAATAGTAATTACTTATTCAGAAACTGTCTTTAAAATGGAGGTAGCTCTGGATAACATGATTCATCACAAAAGGTTTAAATTATTTTCCATACCCGCTGTCTAAGAGACAGGGGTATAAGTAACGGGTTTTGGTTTTTTTTAATCTTATTTTCTGATACTTCCTTATGAGCAAAATATTGTCGTCAGATACACTTTGATAAACTATAAGAGACAAAGCAGGGAACCAACGGAGAAAGAGACCTTTCAGGTCTCAGTGGCTCCAGACGCTCAAACATCCTGGTCATGCCAGCGGACAGGGAAGAAAGAAGAGGCCCCGCAGGGCAGGCTGGTGCCCCCCGGGCCTCTGTGAGGAAGGGTGGACGTCTTTTATCTATGACGCTTTGCTCGCCCTGCAGGCCCACAGTCGAGCGCAGCTGCCTGGCTTGCCCTGCTGAAGGGCCCAGGGAAGACGGTCTCCAAGCTGTTTGGATCAGTGAGTCTCTCACCAAGAGAAATGTATTCCACCGACACATCCTCACTCCCAGCCAGCGGTCTGGGAAACGCTTCCCAGGGATTGTGGCCTGCCCAAGAGACGACCAGGTATTGTTCGTGCCAGCGCCAAGCGCTTCAAGGCGGCAGCTGCTTAACTCCGAAGAGAGAGAAAACCATTCTACGACCTGGCAAACCCACAAACAGCCCACAGACCTGTTTTGCTTGGCCCACGCAGAGTTTTTAAAAACATTCTTAGCCACTATTTAAAAAAATCTGAATGTCATATTAGAACTCAGATTTCTGGAATCTCTTGGCAGAATCTGAGGCTCCGACTGCCCTCCTGAGATGGGGCAGGTGCTTCCCCTCCCCCTGGTCCTGAGCATCTGTTCTGCCACTACTGCGACACCCCTGTAAAGGTTCTACTATGTGACACGTGTCATCTAGGAAACCTAAGTAAGGATTCTGGGCCCCGAAGGGGGTCTCTGGTTTATGACACAGCATTGAATGAACTCTGTGTTCCTTTTCTTCAGGGATGGACAGAAGGGCCACTTGTGAGCCCTTCCCCCATGGTCAGTTTCTCTCCAGGAGCAGCTCGTTCAGGAACACGCGGTCCGCCGTGGGCCACCGCCCCGCGGTTCCTGGAGTAGAAATGGAAAAGCATGTCTGGAAGCACATCCTACTGGTACCTAAGAGGGTCTCTCTCCTGAGACAGAAGTGATGCTCCTGGTGGTGGCTCCAGTAGCTGACAAGGGAGCTGTACAACAAGGAAGCACGTCACGCGGCCACATACACGGCCACGAGCCCAAACTGGGATTCCACAGGCGGAGGGGGGTCGGGGGGGGAGGTTACGCACACCTGAGGAGAGTCCAGAGATATAGCTGCTGCCCATCTCACCCTTAGCAGTCCTAACTTTAGAGAAGCTTTAGCTTTTATAGCGAGAGAGATCTGTTCTGAAGCTGGGAAGGGAATTCCCTTGGATGCCCACTGGCCCCATGAATCTTGCCAAGAAGGCCTGGAGCCACGCAGCCAGGGTGTGGGAGCCTCCTGTCCTTTCTCCTAGTTGCCGCCTCACTTCCCAGGCGAGACTCTCAGAACCTGCAGGCCAGGGCAGGTCGTCTTCACGTTCTACATCTCCCCACCTGGCACAGCGCTTCCCGTGCAGATGGTACTTCGTGAAAAGTGGAAAACAGCAAGCTACAAAAGTGGCTACCTCTCCCAGAGTCCCCAGTTGGAGTGTGAATTCCAGTCTCCTGAATCGCAGTCTGATTTTAGTTTCCTTTGCACAGATGCATGTTCACCTATCCTTCTTCAGAAATATATGTGGACCTCTTTTTTTTTACCTGTAGTCACCAGAGGTGACGTGTTCTGGTGCCTATTTTGCTGTCCTTTTGTGGGTACTTTAGGAGAGTGCTCGCACACCCTGGCTGGCCCAGGACTATCTTGGTTTATGCCTGCTTTCCCACCACAATAATCAATAGTGTGTCCTTTCCCTCCCACTAGAGACTGGTCTGAGTGATGAATTATATCAGGGGTTGACAAACTTGTTCTGGAAAGGGCCAGACACTAAGAATTTTAGGCTTTCTGAATCATATAGTGCCTGCTACAACTAACTCAACTCTGCCCTGGTTGCAAGAGCAGCCATAGGTAACATGCAAATGAATGGGCATGGCAGTGTTCCAATAAAACTTTATTTACAAAAACAGGCTGCTGGCTGGATTTGGCCTGAGGGCCACAATGTGCCCACGCATGAGCTATAATGGTAACCTTAGTTATGAGGAATCCAGGGATACTTTTGTCCCTTTAGGAGAAGAGAGCTCTCAAGGAGATGATATTTTGAGGGGGAATTATTTTGAAAATAATTCAAAAACACTAATCCCGAAGATGAACTACTACCCAAGAGAAGGTGAGTTCTGAGAAAAGTGCTATCTTTAAAATACGTGTTTTAGAATGTCTGGGGAGAGAAAGTCAGTCCACCAAGGAAGGTTTTTCGTTTAGTAAATCTTTGAAAAACAGAGCCATTGGAGATGAGGTGGCACACCCTAGGGAAGGGCGTCTTGTTACCAGCTGAGGGAGAAACCTCTGTGCTTTCTGCAAGAAAAAAAAGGTGCGGAGGAAAAGGATGGCCCAGGCCACCAGGAAAGAGGACTGACGAGGGTCACGGAAGGCAAGACGGAGCGATCAAGGGAAGACGGGTATTCCCTGCGCGTGCTCAACGGCGCTGGGTGATGGCCCTCGGGGCTTCTAAAAAATAAAAAACTAAAAGCCCTCGGGACTGAAAAGGTTCCCCTGCAAATTCCTTCGAGAGAATGAGCCCTGCTGGTTACGGAAGTGGCAGGGGCAGGGGTGCGGTGGGGGGAATGCTCTCCCTTCCTCTGTTTGTCAGCGTCAGGGCAGGACTCTGGGGGGAGCCAAGGGGAGAGATCCAGCCACGCACCGCAGATGCCCAGACAACCGCCTGCCCACGGACAGCAGCGCAAGGACGCCATCTACTGGAGGAACGGCTCCCAACCTCGGGGACTCAGAAACCGCTCCATTCAGTCCCCTGAGGAGCCAGCAGGCTGGCCGTGGACCGCCAGCTCCCTGGAATCGCTCCAGCCCTCAGGGGCAGTGAGGAGCAGCTGGTCAGTCTCGAGGCCTTTTGAAATACATCACCTCCCAAGGAAAGGCCTGGTTCTATCAGGTGCTCCTGTTTCCACTACAGTTGATGTTTGGCACATTTAAATAATTACATTTAGTGTCTGGCATCGTTGCTTATTAGTATAATTGAGGAGACAAAGCATAAAACACAAGTAAATGGCTGGTTGCGTAAGTGCTGCCTAACGGGACCGTGTTCCCCCTTCTCTAAGGAGGTGTTTTTGCTCATTTCCCTCTAAACAAGGGTGGCTGTGTGAGCCGCCTCCGGGCGGGGAGGGGTCTGTCTAGGGCAACGAGACAGGGCCGTACCCAGGGTGAGGCTGCTGGCAGGTCTGGCTCTCCCAGCCTCGGGGCCTTTGTGTCTGCACTTCCCATCGCTCCTTGGGGAGGCTGGCCCTTTCTTCCCTCCTCAGTGGGGTCTGTGTGCGTCTCAGGGCTATCAATGTCTGCCTTTGACACTTCAAGCAATGGGTCAGTGCCCTTTCTGTTTGAAAGAAATGTTTAATTCTGTACTTCTTAACTTCCAGTAAGCTCTTTCTCCCAGTAAAATAAAATACACATATTATTAGCAAATACAATACCTCCTTAGTGCTCCAGAAGCAGAAGGGAGGGACAAAACCCTAACTATCCCTCTAATCACCCAGAAACCCAAACAACACTCTGACCAGGGAAATTTAAAAAACAACAACGACTACTACTACTTCTGGATGGTTTTCTCTGTGTTCCAATTAACCTTGAGAAGTGCCCATGCTGAGCCCTAAGAGGAGAGGAGTCGCCTACTGAAAGGAAACACATGGGGTATGTTGCCCAATGGCTCGCCCCGCAGCCCCTGGCTTATACGGCATAAGTCTCCCCTCCATGGAGCAGCGCATCCCTCCCCTCCCCCACACACCCTCCCCGCACCTGCCCAGCCTGGGACAATGCCACTTCCCTCCCAAAGAGCCGCCCGACTCCGATTCCAGGAAGCAGGGTCAGCGTTACGCACCGGGCAACCAATGTAGGCAGAGTTGTGGACGCCGGGGGGCCTTTTGTAAGTGCCGTCACTGTCTGTGGTGATGAGTCGGTCCTTCTCAGCATCTCCTGGGCAGCCGTTGACCTGCTGTTTCCGGCGTGGCTTCGGAGAACGTTTGATCCGCGAGCTGCCAGGGGAAAAAAGAGGTTACCTTCACAGGATATAACCTTTCTTGCCAGTGGCTTATCAACTAAACACTGAGCATTTTCTGAGCACCCAGGACGTGCTGGGCACTGTAGCAAACGGCCCCCAGGACAAAGACAATGTGTAAGACACATTCTTGGCTCTGAAGAAACTCACTGTCTACCTGGGCAGGCTATAAGAAGACACAGGAACAACAGAGGACAAGCCGAGACAATATATACCTCTGACAGAGACAGTGAGAAATAGGCACGGTCAGTGTGAGCTATTGATTCATCACTGGCTACATGGGGCCTGAGCCGGGTGTTAAGGAGCAAATAGCGTCTGCAGACGGGGAGGGATGTGGAAAGAGGGTGCGGGGCATCGGCACAGCCACACCTACGGCCAGAAGTGGAAACGCAGATGAAGGTTCGGAGGCCATGAGGCCACGGGCTACCAGAGTGGCAGGGCTGCCTAGGCTGCTCCGTGGACAGGTGGACCCCACCCATTTCAGGTGCACAGGGAGCACACGGAGCACAGGGAGCACACGGAGCCAGCCCAGCCTTTGATCAGAGACAGACCTAGCCAGACAGATGCGTTTGAGAAAATGCATCTGTGCTCGGAGGCAAAGGGGGCAGTAAGACCCAAAACTGTGAGGGTGTCTGTGGGACAGGAAGTGAGACATGCACCCATGCCGCCCACCTGGGTGCCAGCCTAGGAGGTGAGGACACTGGGGGTGAGCCGGCTGAGAGGAGATGGTGGGCTGGGAAGCCGGGGAGAGGCAGGTCTGCCGGGGGAGTGTGGCAGCGCTCCGAAAGCTGCCTTCCAGGAGGCTGTAGCCCAGGGAACGCTCCGAGGCCGGGAGGTCCAGGCAGAGGATGAAAGCAGCCATTCTGCACAGGTGGCCCCTGCGGGGCAACGTCACCCGCGCAGTCTACACAGCCTTCCTGTGCACAGACGTCTCTGCCTCATTTTCCGCGACTTTTCCCTTAACAATGGGCAGGCCCTCCTACCGCGGCCCTGACGGCTGAGGCCCCGGCTCTGCCCTGGGTCCCCACCTCTTCCTGGGCTCTATGAAGACCGAGGGCACGCTGGCCGTGGGGTCCAAGATCTTGTCGATCTGCATCTGCGCCCTGCGGTACACCCGGTGTCGCTCCCGCGTGTCCCCCGAGGACAGGTCGTCCACCACCGGGAACTCGTAGTGGCCGCGGCGCTTGGCGCGGAGCCGGATCTTGTTCCGGTGGTGCTCGATCTCGGACTTGTGCCGCAGCGCCGTCTGAATCTGAGGGGGCGACATGGAAGGACGCAGACAAAAGGGATGTACCCGAAGGTCTCAGGGACCCAGGCTCAGAAAGCATTTTGGGAAGGCCTTCCTACCACGTTCCTTGCCCCCTGGACGGCTGTTCCAGGCTCCCACGAGGTCCCCAAGGGAGTGACACAGGCAGGCAACCCACACAGGGTACAGGGGACCTGCCATGGCGGCTGTAACCCCAACCTTGCCAGGTGTGTGTGAGGAGGCGGCTGTGGTATCGGCCCCCAAAGACAACTCAAACCTGGGAGATGGGCCTTGGCCACTTGGACGGTACTGAGGGTCACTAATGACTAGATACAATGTGGCCTGAGAACAAGGATATTTTCCATACCCACTAATCACTACTTCAGAGGCTTTTAAATTAAGACAGATTGAAAGAGGTTACTTGCATTACACAACAGAATGCGCGTTTATTGAAAATTACCTAGTGTCACCCAAACAAGTCCTCTGACCCGAGACCCGCCCTCCCCCCCCAGGAGAGGACCCACATGTATGGAAACCTGCCATCACTGGCTCTGTGGGGCTGCGCTAGGTGCCGAGGAGCGAGTCGGGCCTGAAGGGGGCGGGTCCGGGAGGAGGGCGTGAGATGCAGGCACGGCCCAGGCCCAGAGTGCCGGTGACCGCCTAGGGGGCGATGAGGTGACCAAAGGCAGAGGCAGGTCTGCTGGGCTGTGGTGCAATGCAGACTGGGAATCTGACCAGAAGGAGGGAGCGAGGGAGCGAGGCCACAGGCCAAGATGAAATGGAACGTTCCTGGCAGTGCCACGGGGGACCCAAAGCCACATGCTTCCTGGAGACTGTTTGAGAAGGACAGCCGGTTGCATGAGGTTCTGGGTAACTTACCAGCAGGAAAACAAAACAAAACAAAAAAACAAAAAAAGAAAAACCCTCTCACTCTATCAGGATCTAATTGTTCTTTGAAATATATGAGGTCCTCACAGGAGAACCAAGGTATACTAGGAATTCGCACCAGAACCTCCTGCTAAGAAAACATTTCACTTTAGTCCTGACCAGCATGGCTCAGTTGGTTGGGCGGCGTCCCACAAAGCGAAAGTCACCAGTTCAATTCCAGTTAGGGCACATGCGTGGCTTGCAGGTTCCATCCCTGGCTGGGATGCATACAAAATGCAACCGATCAAGGTTTCTCTCCCTCTCTTTCTCCCTCCCTTCCCCCTTTTCTAAAAATACATAAATAAAATCTTGTTTAAAAAGAGTTAATTCTTTTTTTTTTTTAATTTCAACTTAGATGTATAAAGGATATAGGTCAGTAGAACAGTATTGATAACGCTCTAGTTCTTAAGTTGGGTTCTGATTTCATTATTATGCTTTATAATTAACATATATTACCTACAGGCACACACAGGCATCAAATACTACATTTCAAAAAGAAGTAGAAGGAAAATGGAGCCGCAAGCTATCAAGTTGTGAGGCCACAGGCCTGGTGAGCACATTCGCTTCCTTCTTTCACCAGAGGGAGACCCCACTCCATGGTGTACATATAAGGCAAGTATAGAGCACACGCAACACGAGACAGATGGAGACAGGTGCGGGCTAGGACGGGGCCCCACAGAGCTGGGGCTCCTGAGCGCTGGCGAGAAGGCACGGCACTCGCCACCCTGCACCCACGGCACACATGCTGCGGTCACCTCCTCGGCAAGGAGCCAGTGAGGTGCGCCTACAAGAAGCTCTAAGCACTCTCGGTAAGACTCCTCTATAAGATGATCCACTTTATGGATCACCTTTAAAGTGGGCTGGGGACTCAACCGTACCAATTTCTTATCACTTCAGCCTGGAGAACTCAAACAGCCACGGGTGTTTCTCAGAGGCAGGGCACTGACAGGCGTGAAGCTGCCTTATGTGCATTTCTGAACGGCATTCACCTGACTCGTTGTCCAGCCCAGGTCAAATCTCTCGACTTAAAGTTAGCTGTGACCTGGCCTGGCTTTCTGGTTCCCAACATCTTAGGAGGGAAGCAACTCACTCTTAGGAGATCCAACAACTCCTCCAGGATTTACTGGAAGAGGGTTTTGCTAGGAATTATCTAGATACTTGGAGCCAAAGCAGATCTGTGAGGCATCACAAAGTCTACTATGGTTCCGAGGCCACCCCAGGTTCAGTGACTGACTAGGAAAATTCACAGGACTCCGCCTTCTGCCCCAGTTATTACAGTGAAATGATACAAAGCAAAATCAGCAAAGGGAAACCAGGCATGAGCTTCCCAGAGTCCTCTCCCGGTGGGATCACACAGGATGTGCTTAATGCCTCCAGCGGGGGGTTGTGACAACACATGGGAAATGCTGCCCACCAGAGACTCGGTGCCCAGGGTTGTCATGGGGGCCGGCCGCAGAGGCACCCTCTGCCTGGCACGTACCGCAATTCCTGACTCTCGGAAGGAAAGCAGATATTCAGCATAAATCTAAATCATATTTTCTGCACAGTGAGCCACTCTGTTCTGCAAATGAAGGCAATCTTTCAGAAATGCAAGTTCCCTAAACCGGCCACAGGGCAAAGCGGGACTTCTAAGGATAGCGGTCTCGGGTCTTTTTTCTGCACATCTGCCGGTGCACCTAACAGTGTCCCTGAACCGTATCTGATCTTTAAAAAAAAAAAAAAAGGGATATTTTACATTTAAAATTAAAAATACCTGTCAGCAGCTCATATGCTTTGCAATCTTTTGACACTTTCACTCATTTTTAAGCACCAACCAAACCAGCATGTGAGCTTTTGTATTTATGTGCTTTTTAGTAAAAACAAATACCTCTTTGTTAATTTTGTTGGTTTCTGCCACGCGGTCGGCCAGTACGGGGTGGTGAACTGGAGGCGCGGGGATCGGCTGCATGGCGATCAGCTGGATCTTGCTGGGGACCCGCCGACTGGCCTCTGAGGAGCGGGAGATCCTGTCCACATGCTCAAAGATGGAGGCAGAAGAGTGCTGCTCGTTCCCTGAGCTGGGCGGCGGTGGCCCTAGGACAGAGGGAAAAGCCAGAAAATAAATATATAAAGTCATCCTAAAGAAACAGCAAATAAGCCCTGCCGGGCGTAGCTCAGTGGGTTGGGTGTCATCCCGCAAACCAACTCAAAAGGTCCATGGTTCGATTCCAGGTCAGGGCACATGCTTGGGTTACAGGCCAGGTCCCTGGTTGGGGGCGTGCGAAAAGCAACTGATCAATGTTTCTCTTGCACATCAATGTTTCTCTCCCTCTCCTTCTCCCTCCCTACCCCTCACTCTAAAATAAAATAAAATAAAATAAAATCTTTAAAAAAAAAAGCAAGTAATCAAAAATATGGATTTATTCTTAAAGAATCCACTGATCTGTCCCTGACCAAAAACACATCCCTACTTTGTGGCACTTAAAATGTGCCTACTGAAGCTTACATTATCTGGGTTCAATATTGTCTCTTTCAGCCTCATTAAAAGTTGCAAATATCATCAGAAAAGATATGAAAATCATTAGGACACTTTGTGCCAAAAATTGCCCTATTTTACCTAAAGGGAGTTCAAAGTCTTCAGTAAGAAAGGGTAAAGGGCAGGAGGAACCTGAAGGTGCTCAGTCATTTCCAATTTATAGAACTTACAGCAGCTCTGAACTTCCACTGCCATTTGGTATGAGATAAATTTAGTTGCCAAGGCAACTATACTAAAGATGAGGGGACTGTGGACATGCAGGCGTGTGCTGATTAACAATGAGCTCTCCTGGGTTTTCTGAGCTGATGCAGGAAGAAAATTAAGTTGAAGAGGCATGAGAAGAAAAAGCTGCTGCCTGGAGGGGAGTCATTCCCGCTTTAAAAAGAGATGAAGGGTATATCTAAAAATGGCTAAAAGGGGACGTTTTTTAAAAAAATAAATTTTTAAAAGTGATTAGAAGGGTAAATTTATGGCATGTATATTTTGTCACAATGAATTTTTTTAAGGAATCAGAACTGCAAAAAAAAGAGAAAACATTTAAATGTGTAGAAAAAAAGATAAAGAAGGAACTATTTAAAATGTTAACAGCCCTGGCCGGGTGGCTCAGTTGGCTGGAGCGTCGTCCCCATATGGCAAGGTTGCAGGTTCGATCCCTAGTCAGGGCACATACAAGAATCAACCAGTGAATGCATAAGTAAGTGGAACAACAAACTGATATTTCTCTCTCCCCCCACCTTTCTCCCCTCCTCTCTCGCTAGGAAAAAATAAAATCAATACATTTTAAAATAAACAAAATGTTAACAGACTAATCTTGGTATAATGGGTGATTTTCTCCAATTTCTTGCATTTTCTGTAATTAGGATTTTCTCTGAGTATTACTTTTATAGTGGAAATAATCCTAATGAGCTTTCATCTTAAGAAGGCAAAAAGAAAGAGATGGGGGTTGAGGGGGAAGGGGGAGGGGAAGAGGGACTGAATAGAGGAAAGACCTCTACAGAGCTAGTCAGACACACTGAGATGCTGGCATCCCTCTGAGAAGCCACAGCCACGCCCACGCGCTCTGGACGCTGGTTTAAATTAAACGGACCACAGGCCAAGAGAAGGAGAGAGAGCACGCAGAGGCTGTTTTCAAACAAAAGCCTGAGGTTTGAAACCTCAGGCGGAACTGAAAATTACGAAGGCTTCTCCTCGATGTAAATAACCAACAGAACGGAGCCAAGCAGTAAGAAATAACAGTTGATGTTTGATATAAGGACGGCACATCGATGCTACGTGAGTCGCTGTATTTCCTCTCCTCTTGAACTACACTCATGTGTTGCCCAAAGCGACTGGAAATGAGGCATGCAGCTGTGAATGAACGCGGTCCCTCTCAGCTGCCTGCCCCCCGGCTCCCGCCCCTGCCTGGCTGTACATTGCAGGCAGCCGGCCCCACCGCGCACCTGCTGGCACCTTCTCCAATTGCAGGCACAAGGCCTCAAAGGAGATCATTAGCCTCACCAGACAGGCTGGCCTTGCTAACCCAAACTTATAAAGTGACAGCAGATCTCCCAGAGGGTAGCCCACTACGCAACTGATACCCAAAGGTGAGGTCCCTCTCCTCCAGGATGGTAAAAAGATCAGGGATGCAGAGGGCTCCCAGTGGCTGGAACGCAAAGGGGGCAAAGGAGGGAAGGAAGCCCCCTCCCCCAACCCTGTGCTGCCTGCCAGCCTGGGGACCGAGAAGCTGCCGGGCTGTGACAGGCTCCTGCCCACGCCCTACCCCACCCCCGACTGTGGTCCCGGATCCTCACTCTGTAATTCACCAACTGCAACCAGAGGAGGAGGGACTGCGCCCAGAGCCCAGCCCTTCTACAGGGCAAAAAGGGGGGCTTGTTATTTCCCATATGCATGTAATATACATGTCATCTATATGGATATATGTGTACAGGTACACACACATACCCCAGTTTATATATAATATATATTTATGTACTTTCATTATTTACTATGTATTGCACTTTTTTTTTTTAAACCACCTGTGTAATAATGGCCAATGGAAAATACAATAGATAACGCGGAGAGCAACGCTGTGTGAATCCTGCCTCAAGGCAAGCAGGGACTTTGGATTAAAACCTTTCTCTTTAAATATAATAAAAAATATGATAAAAAATTACAGTACAAGATAATGTCAACAAAGGAGAACGGCAGAGGAAAAGGCGATCTGAATGACTGACGTGCACGAGCAATAGAACATTTTTAAAGAGGCCGTGTTTCATCGTCTCTGGGTAAATGCAGTCGCTCTGCCTTATTATTAAGGGTTGTGGCCCACGTTAATGTCCTGTGAGGCAGGGGTCACATGTGTCTCTTCTTCATCATCTCCCGGCGCCTACCCCATCACAGGCACTTAATAAACACGGGCTGCGTTGGATGACTGACTCAACGACTAGTCACCCCGACTAAGTTTATAAAATTCTACCTCCAAGAGGCCTCCGGGAATGGGCCTTCATGAAAAGAATAATAATTTATGATCTCAACCATTTTATAAATGGATGCTCCTCAATTACTTGAAAAACTTTGGTGTTACACGTAGTCAAAATCGTTGCCCTGCAATCACATTAAAGATTTAACTTGCTTCGCAAGCTCCTCGGCACATGCCAAGGGAGGTGTCGGCTAGGTGCCTACGTGACATTCTAGAATTTGGAATCTGTGGAATTCACATTAATGGAAGTCTACGTGCTTAGAGGAGCACCCCCTTGCACGCATGCAGCCTACGGCTATGGCATAAAGAAAAACCTCGGCACCTTGCAGCCTCTACCTACTGGGCTCCTGCCTGACACAGGACAGAGACGAAGCCGCTCAGTAGAGCCTTCACACAGGGAGGGTGTGTTCCTCCTTCCTCCTCCCTCTCCTCCCAGCGGGTGGTAATGATGTGACTCATTCTAAAACTGCAGGGACTGTGAACACACTGACATTTGAGTAAGTCATCTCCTAAGGGTCTGCGGACGGTGTGAGCATACACCCCACTGTCTAGCCAGCTTCCGAAAACGGTCAGCAGGGAAGGGAAGAAGGCGCAGTGACCTCAAAGTGACCAGAACCGAAACAAGGGCCTGTGCTGCGCTTCCAACGCAAGCTGGGTCCTGAAAACGCCAGATCAATTGTGACAGTCACAGGAAGCCTCATCACCTGTCATCCGCTGTGGGGGGAGGGAACACCGGCTCCAGGGCAACGTGGGCGAGGGTCCAAGGATGGCCTCTAGCAACCGCCTGCCTCCCTTAATTTGTAATTCACCACGACTTACAACAAGAGAAGGATTTTCATGTGAATTACTGTAGAAAATGATTCAAAAGCTATGATTATAAAGTTAGAATTGTTTCACAGGGTATTTAACTAAGTTTACGCAAGCAATAAAACCCCTGTGTGGTAGCATTATAGCGCGAAGGAAGCAAACGGAGTTTTTAAAGTGAATTGGCATCGCCCTGGCCAGGTGGCTCAGGCGGTGGCAGCGCTGTCTCCTGCACCGTAAGGTTGCAGGGTCTGATCACTGTTTCTCTCACATCGATGCATCTCTCTCTTCCTCCCTCTAAGATCAATAAACACATCCTTGGGTGAGGAATGTTTTTAAAAAGTGAATTGGTATTTATTGTGAGAAAACCATCGTTCTAAAACATGAAAATAATGTACAGATTCTGGTATGTCTTCAAATCCTAATAGTGACACCGGCGCTTCAAGTCCTCACAAGAACATCTAATCCACCCGTCTCCTTTCCCTGTCACCTCTCGGTCCCAAAGCCGACACTGGGATTTTGAACGTATGTTGACAGTGATACTTGATTTTTTTTTTCGCCACATAGAATATACTTGTTGTAATCCTAGAGTAAGGAGTTAAATGTGGGAACTAAAAGCAAGATTTTCTCAGGTAAACAAAGAACCTGAGAAACTCCAGGGCTGATTCTTTTTTTCAAATATTTCTTACCCTGGATCAAAACTAGATGTTAATCCTGACTACCTGAAACCGTGCACCTGTTACCATGGTGCTAAGTAATTTTTAAGATTCTGTGAAATGGGATCCAAAGGGAAAAAAACTCTTCCCTCTATACTAAGAGGGTATTTTTTTTTTAACGTCACCACGAGACCCCTGAGAGGAGCCGGAAGGGACCTCAGAACTCAGCTCGTTCGGTCCCACAGGTGCCTGGAAGCTGAGGGACTCAGTTGGAAGGTCACAAGCACAGTGACAGAACAGGCCCTCCGGCGTCCGTCCAGAATCTGTTCACTTAACACAATACGGTTCACTCTGTGCTGCATTTTCATACAGAGAAACTGGTGATGAAAAATATAAGTACAAACACTGCTATTAAAAATACCATCCCCAAGCACCGCAATTTTCTTTGCATTACCGAAACATCAATAATGCTCTAGCAAACACAAGAGCCACACTAGCACTTCTGTCTAACAGAATCGATTAAACTAAAACCCAGCTACCCGTCAACATGCCAGAAAATGCCCCCACGTCTAGCGAGACCTGTGAGCTTCATTTTTACAGGGCAGGAGGGCCATGGCGCTGCCATTTAGGATGGGACTGAAGTTCATTTCGGACCTGGCCCAAGAAGCTACGGAGTCTGGCGACAAATACAAACGTGCTAAAACATGTGATCCCACTGAGCTAGAAGATCTATGACCAAACACAATATACTTGGGCCTAGGACAAACCCACAGCTTTTGACAACTGTGAAATCCTCGAAGTGGGTGCTAAGAAGGTCACTGAATCCAGGGGACAGTTTTGGAGACTGGTTTCAGTTCGACTCTTCCTTGTCCCTCAGGAAGGACAACTGTTGGAACTCGAAACTAGAATGGAACATGGCGGCTATGAGCCCCAAAACCTACCTCCACGAATCCCTAAGCGCCATCACACCCCTCCCCCGACCCCTGACCCCCACCCCACCTCAACCCAGACACCGGCACCGTGCTAGGCAGTGACAATCAACGCTGAGACATTCACCATCAGATAACGAATATCCCGCTGCACAGATGTTTTTTCTTTTTATGTTCAGCATTTGAAGAAGCCCAAACCCGCGCCTCCTGGAACCTCATCGCCACTCGTTTGAACGCGGAGGGCGAGGAGGGTCACAGGCCACCCCACGGGGCCCTCTGGGACTTGCCGTCATTCACTGCTCCTGGTGCCTTATCTCCTGCTTCCCTCTCACTGGACTCTTCACTTACGGTAGAGTCGGCATCTGAGGGCGAAACTCTGCAGACACAAGACAAATGTAAGCAGTACGAAAAACAGAGGAAAGCGGGGGAAGGTCACGTTCACCTGGATGTGGAAGTCAGGCTTCCAGGCATAACTAGTAGAAATCAATCCCCAAAATGATTTGGTGATGCAGCGTCTTCCAAGACAGGACTAGCACTTAGTTACCCTCTGGAAGACAGCGTAGCAGTTTAGAAAATAGCTCCGCAGCCTTCACTTCCGTCAATGCGAGGGCAACTAGGAGCCAGGCTGGGGGCGGCCCCCCGGCGACCAGGGCCCTGGCCTGGCTCAGAGTTACCTGGGTCTGCGGGATCTCCAGGAAGCCGGGGCGTCCTCCAGTCCCCCCACGGGGCCCCAGGTCTTTGAAAGAGGCCAACACAAAGGCAATGATCACCACTGAGATTTGATTCCAAATCCAAAGAGCGAGCGTAACATGGAAGCCAGGGGGGCACTGGGCTTGTAAACATCCTTAAGCAGGTAGCACGCCTTCTCTTTCGGCTTTCTGCTGGCTTAAACAGCAGGGTGAAACACCAGCGCGTTCTGGTTGCCGTGAGGGATGCTAAAATATTAGAGTGACCACGCAGGCCATTGAGAGGTCGTGACTGGCCAGGGAAGAAAACAAAGACTTTGCAAAATTGTACGAGCATATTAAGTAATCCTTAATGATTTGGTGTACGCTTAGCCTACAAGATAATTAAGCCAATAACATCTCTCTCCATAATGCAATTTCTTTTGTACAGGTCCTGTTCTAACTTCCATTAAATTCTTAAAACTAGGCCAGAACCCCAGGGTGGGTTTTCCGATGTCAGAAATTATAACATCGCTTCCAAATATTGATAGGATCGTGCACTTTTTTCCTTTCAGTGGAAAATCAGGATTGAGGATACCAAAGCTCAAAGGCAGGCTGACAATCTGAGGCCTCCGCAGCCAACACGGGGCTGTGCGATCAGCTAAAGTAAACTTGGAAAAAAGCCCAATTCTGAGCCTGGTCTGTAACAGGGCCGCAGCCCTCCTCCAGGACGGGGATCGGGACCGGAGCGCAATGGCGGCCCCCCAGGTAGTGTGCCAACAAGCAGTTCTCCGCGGGCTTTACTCTGATAGGAGGATTGGAAATGCCCTGGGAGGGAGTGGGGGGCTGGGCAGCAAGGAGACAATGAAGAGTCCACGCAAACACGCTCACAATGGCGACTACCTGGGCAACCGGAGAAAAATCAAGCAAAGACAGAAAGCTGGGAGGAAGGCCACCTGCAGCCAGAACAACGAAGTCAGAGCCAGCCGCGGGCGTGATGGGCCAGGACAAAGCCTGGGCTGGGGGTGTGTCCTGTGCTATGCGCCTTTTAGGCATTATTTCTGATACGCTCTCCAGAGCGCGGAGCATGCTCGCCCCAGAATATTAGCCTCGAACTGGCCAATCCCTAATCGAGGCACAGAAGGACCGCCAACCCTGATGGACAGTGATTCATAATCTTAAAGGCCTCCTTTGGCAGTCCATCAGGGTGGCACAGGAGCCCTCGGGCGCGCTGACTTTGGTCAAGCTGTGGTCAGTCTCCCGGGCTGCGGACTCGGGCAACACGCCCCGTCAGCCCTTCTGATGCTACCAACTGACAAAGTAAAATGAGAAACATGCCCCGCAACAGAGTACAATGCAGAAAGCCCAACACGAACCTTCCTCGGTGGCGCACATTCCTGGAAGGGACCTTGGCCTTGGGGCTGGGGACATCTCCATTTTCAGAGGGCGTGGTGTGGTCCTTCCCAGGTCCTGGCAGTGGGGCTGGCTCGTGAATGATCAGTATGTCGTCTTTATTGTGCTGACCCAGGTGCTGCTTGGCAAAATCGAAGCCCTTCACACTGGGGATCTGCAACTAAAACAAAGAGACGAGGCAGTCAGTCCCCCTGACACTTGGTGACGGTGACAGTGAGGGCTGGCAGGACCAAGAGCGCCACCTTCCGCCTCAGACTGCGCCTGCGCTCCCAGCAGCCCAACTCCACAGGCGTCCCTAAAAGGCCAAGTTGTGTGCCAGACCTCCAGTTTGCAGAAAAGTTGGGTGCTCGCAAAGAGTGAAAGAAGAGTGCACAGATTCAACAGCTACCCCATAATGCAAAAGATGTCACAGCAGCATAACCGTGGGCGATGCCATTCCAGAGAAAGGGACACAGGCGCTATACAGAGAAATGGGGGCTTGGGCCGGGACTCGGACAACAGGCAGAACTTAGAAATAAAAAGAGGTGGAGACGCAGAAGTGTGTTCTAGGTTGTCAGGGACCAGAGGACACTGGAGGCGGGGACGGGATCTCCCGAGCTGCTCTAGAGGGGTCAGAACACAGGCAGTGAGAGGCGGCCGGCCTGTGGGTGGGGGGACGGCCCCCAGTGCCAGGTCTAGAGCACAAACCTGCTAAGTATTTCTAAAGGGGTAGGTTTCTAAAATCTAAGAGAGAGGATACAAAGGGAGCAGGAAGAGGACCCTACAAGGCCACACGCATGGAATGACAAAAGCAGGAGCCCAAAATCTTCGCGATGAAAACGGGGAGGAAAGAACAGCGCGAGAGATGCCACCGCAGGGCCTGGGCACCGACCAGACGCGAGAGGCAAAGGAGGGAAAGCGGCCGTGATGCGTGGAAGGTACCGGCAGGTAAACAGAATGGTGGGGGCGGCCTTAAGGGAAAGAGGTGAATCATGAAGGAACGATGACTGGAGGAAAGAGACAGCTTTTGCTTTAAACATGCTTGGGTCGAAATGGCATAAAAGCTCCAAAGGAAAGCAGCGGGAGTCAGAGGACAATGGCATGGGGGATGTCCAGGCTAGAGATGTGACTTTGAGGGCATCTGCACAGAAGGGGACAGGGGGGCGGGGGGAGGGGGAGCAGGGAGGGTTGACATTTTTAAAGATGAAAGTAGTCTATGAATAAAACGCCCGAGGACATCTCATAGTTTGGGGCTCCGAGGAGAAAAAGCCAGGAAAAAATAAAAGCTGACTTCAAAAAAAAAAAAAAAAAGAAAGAAAAAGAAGAAGAATTTGGATCATGCACTGAAATAGAAGACAAGGGAATAAAGAATTTCTAGCCCTCGCTGGTGTGGCTCAGTGGGTTGAGTGTCATCCTGCAAAACTGAAAGGCTGCCGGTTCGATTCCTGGTCAGGACGCAGGCCCGGGTTGTGGGCCAGGTCCCCAGTAGGGGGTGTGTGTAGGAGGCAGCCGATTGATGATGTTTCTCTCTCCGTTCCCCTCTCTCTGAAAATAAATAAAATCTTTTAAAAAAAAAAAAACTTCTAGAAAGGAGTGGCCAACAGGAGTAACTAGGGCACAAGGATGAAGGAGAAAGGGGTCTTGGAACAGCCCGCCTGTCGCACTGGCAGATGCATAAGGCCTACGTGGGGATACGAGGTGCCAACACCACGCCCACGACCGAGGCCCCCCAAGTCCACAAGCACAGCACCCTGGCCTCGGCTTCTCAGCCTGCCCCAAGACAGGAGAGGTGCTCGAAGTATAGGGACACGTGGACAAGGAAGGCGGACACACTTCTGATGACACTGCAAGGGCAGGGGTGGGGATTCACGGTTTCCCTGAGCCGAGCTTGCACAGTGTAGAGAAATAAACCGCACACTGAGAGCTGTCTCAGGGTCTCCTCGTCCTCCGCGGGAACGCGGAATGCGAGCCGCGGGTCAGGCTGTGTCCCACACCTCCAGGCAGTCGGAAGCCACGGGGCAAACCTCCCTGAGGAGTTATTTCAGACAAGGGACTCTGTGTAGAAGCAAAGGGTTTTGTTGTTATTTGCACCACCTTTACACACAGGTGAGTGACACCACCGGTGGCTTAGATGTGAAGACCTCTAACGTCTTCAGCACTAAAAATCTAGGATTCACGGATAGGAGAGTAGTCCGCAATCACTACTTAGGCCAGCAGAGGGAGACAAAACTTGCTATAACAATAGTTTACAAAGACGTTGCTTGGAAACAAAAGGCTACACCGGCCTGCCTGTTTCCCAAATTAATGATAGAGTGTTTCCAGAGCAGGCTACTCCACCGCACAGGCAGAAATGTTGTTTCGAAAACAATAAACCCAAACCTGCTGCTCCTGGCCCCTCCCAAACTGCCCCCAGCCACCCAGGATAAACTTATTTCCTTATCCATGAAACTGGGTTAGCACGACGACCTTCAACAGCGGGTGCACACTTTCCTAGGGACACGGAGCCCTCTTAAGAGGACTCAACTGCACATGGACAACCTCGGTACATGTTCTCCCCTACAGGTGATGTTCCTGGGAGCACGGCGGTGGTCTGGGCGTCACACCAGCCCCCTTCCTAAGAGACCTCCTACTTCACAGGAGAGAAATGCACCTCTCACCCAGGGGACAGCCTCACCCCAGCGGCACCGCATTTTAGCCCCATAAACAAGGTGCCTCTAAATGGAAGAAGAGCTGTTCTAATCCGCAGGCATCTAATCATCACCATCGACGTCATCGTATCAACGCTGGTGAAATCCTTTTGGGTGTACTTCCCCGTAAGACAGTAAATGCTTCTCATGCCTGGGAAACACTTTCTCAAAACTGGAGGAGGAGCCACAGACTGCAGACCTCCTCGAAGCAAACCCTCCAGAGTGAATACGGGAGAAATAACCAGCACTCTGTCTCCATGGCGCAGCCTCTGTACCCCAAGTCCAGGAACTAAAGGCCTTCCCCGACAAACTGCCAGGGCGAATGGAACAAACAAATATACGTATGTGTTAAAATGCTTCACAAACGCCGAAGCTCCATACACATGAGACCAACAGCATCATTACTGCTCTTGGCAGATGAACATTGTTAATATATAGTCAGCTAAGAGTTCTCAGGTGTCAGATAAAGCGGTCGATATAAATTCAGATACACAATTCTATAATTCAGCGACAGGTTGGGACACATTGGCAGGCCCTCAATGAACAGTTGAGGACGGAATGAATTTCAAAAAGGTCAGCTAAAGCGGCAAACTTACTGGATTTTGTGGGGAATCACTAAAAAGGTCCATGCCGTGAATGGAACTGACACGCGTGACAGCCTTGAAGCCCTGTCGGCTTCTTGTTGACTCCAACTGACATCTCTAAGTATTAGATCCTTACACGTCTCACAGGCTGGGTGACTCACCACCTTCCACAACAATAGAACTTTGGCAACTAATCTGTGTTTACGCACCAAACAAAAGCCATTTATAGACAGACGGAAAAAATTAGAGGAATCGTTTCCCCCACCCCCACCCTGCTACTCGCTTATAGAATGAGCTACTTTTGTTTCATCCCTACTTTCTGGTACACTCTTTCTAGTTTGCCATTTCTTTCTTTTTTTTGTTTTTTAAATCTAGAATTAAGTCCGGCTCTATTGTATCTCCAGCTTCCCCATGCAGCATAAACTTAAGTCAGTATTTTGTAAAAGAAGAGGAGCAATTAATTCGGGCCCTGATATTCATATTAGGACCTGGTTACTTCTGAGGATGGATGGCTCTGTTGTTCCTTCTTTCTTTAATATATCACAAAGGGGACAGGCCCCAGGGTCAGCAGTTTGTCGGGGAAGGCCTTTAGTTCCTGGACTTGGGGTACAGGGTCCTACCGGAATATGTCACCGACAAGTCAGGGAGGCCAGCTGGAGCAGGTCAGCCACGGAGCAGGAGAGACACCTGATGAATTTTGACACATGTGAGCCGTAACTATAATGCGACCCAGATTGCAACAAGACAGAGGGACATCCCCGGTACTGGTCACCCTAACCCCTGAGAAGGAGCACAAAGATGACCAAAGAACAAATCCCAACAGCGTCTAAATGAAAACTGGCAATCCCCAAGAGAACACCATTGTTTACGCATGTACATTGGGTGCATGTGCTCTGTGGAAACTCACAGACGTTCCACGACGTTTCCATTGAGTAGTGAAGACCAGGCGGAGCTATTACCATGGGTGTGTCCCTGCCGCGGCCCAGGGTGCGGTTCCCAGCCGCCCTGAGGTCTTGAGTCTGGGAGGGCAGCGCTCCAAGTCCCTCCCGCCCCCAGGCCACAGCAGGTCACCTGGCTGCAGGTGAACTGGAACCACCTACACCTGAGGCCTCCTGGGCATCCTTGCACAGACTCCGAAGAGCCATCCCAGGGGACATGCTGAACTTGGCCGAGATGGAAGAAACACTCGTGGAGCTTCTCTTCAACCCTCTGTCCACGCTGCCCCTGAAGTGACTGTCCCCAACATGCTCCAGCCACTGTCCCTGCTGAAAACCCTCCACTGGGTCTCCCTGCCTGCAGCCTCACTCCCAACCCCTTCCATACCTGCGGAGCCTGGCTCTTGCCTACCCGTTGCCTCAGCTTCCGCAGTGCCCTTCCATGCGACCCCTGCTCCGCCCTCCGCGGGCTCCGCGCCCTCCCCTCCCCTGGGCTGCGCCCCCTGCCCACATCACCTCCTCTTGGGAGGCAGAGGCAGCCCAGCACCTAGAGTCAGGGGGCGGCCCCGCCCCGCGCTCCTGCAGAGCCCTGGACAGCCGGACACTGCGACTGTGTGTCAGCCTTTGGGGGGCTTGTCCTTCTCCAGAACCAAAGCCCTCGAGAGCAGACGGCACATCTGTGCCTGTCGCCCAGCCTGGCCGGCCCTGCCTGGCCCTGAGCACACACTCAGTGTCTGGCAAATGAACGTGCCCTGTCCCAGGTCGCCCCCATCTGGCCGCCCACAGAGCCGGCCGGCCAGGAACTGCGGCCCTGCATCAATACCAGGGTGCGGACTGTCCCCAACAGAAGAGACGAGTTCCCATGGGACCAGCAGCAGGTAGCCAAGACCGTTCACATCTTTAAATAGAACCTCAACAGGGCAAGGCAGGTCCAAGCCGGAGTTTTTTGGGAACAGTGACAAGTGATGACTTTGGGCTACAGATTAAAGAGAATACAGATAAAAAGAAAAGACATGGGTTAGGGGTTTTTTTCCCTTTATTATTAGAAATAAAAAAGGACCCTGCTTCAAAATAAGACAGAAAGGCCTCTCCGTCTTATCATATTTCAAAACTAAGCTACTCCCAGACAATCGGAAGGTTTTCTCCTCACTACAGGGGGAAGGGGGTGTGGAGTTTTGGTCAAACTTATTGTTTCCAGATGTTCAGGGCTCTGGGATTTGCTACAAGATTTCAGAGAGTAGCAGGGAGGCAGCATCAGGGGTGGGGTGGGCAGAGCAAAAGGGGGGGTTCGGGGAGAGAGAGAGGAGAGGAGGAGAGGAGAGGTGAGGGGAGAAGAGGAGAGGAAGGCGCCCAAGGAAGACGAGGACCTCTTACTCACTGGGAAGACAGCATCTTTTCCAGCTGCCCCCAGGAGCAGGCAAGAGACCTTGGCTATTGCCAGATAACCTTAGGAGAAGCGCTTACGAAGTAGAGAAATTTGCTTTTCAGCTAGGTGGAGATCATCATTTTCCTATTACACACACGTGACAAGGTCCACATGGTGGGCTCCGGTGCCAGCAGGGCCAAGCCCGTGCTCCTGAAACAGTGGGAGTTTCCACCCTCCAAACAAGTGGCGCCTCTCAGGGAGGCTCCCTGCAAACAGGCTGGGAACACATGTGAGCAACGCCCGTGGCTGGAGGCTGTTTGAAACTCTCCTGGATGTAGAGCCACATCTGGGATGGACGATAGTTCGGAAGTAAAAGAGGGAGAAGGAGAAAGGCTGGGGAGAGCTGCTGTCCCGATCGCTTCCTGAGTAACAGACAGTGGACGGGCTTCTGCATGGAGTGTTTACATTGGGAACTAAGCAACATGAAGACTCACATACATAAATGTCTACACCAGTTAAATCTCTCCAAACCTGTACTCTTGCCCCAGAAGAAAATCATTTACAAATCTACTGTTGATCTCATTACAATGAAATTCACACTCTGCATCATTCAGTATATCAAGTACTACTTTTTTCCAGGTCTTTCCTGGGCCATTCATTAGTCTAAGAACACAACAACCTTGGCAGGCTATGTAAATAATACATGAAGGCACATGACAAATACAATATTAATGTTCAAAATGCTTCCAATAGCCTGGTCAGGTGGCTCAGTTGGAGCATCATCCCGAGCAGCAAAATGTTGTGGGTTTGATCCCCAGTTGGGGTGCATATGGGAGGCAACCAACCAATGTTTCTCTCTCACATCAAAGTTTCTCTCTCTCTCCCCTCCACCTCTCTCTCTAAAACCAATAAGCATGTCCTCAGGTGAGAATTAAATAAGTAAATAAAATAAAATGCTTCCACTATACTTGATCAGTTAACCCAATATACTTGCAACTTAATCAAGACTTTGCATTTCTTATTTAATTCATAAGAAAAAGAATATTTTCCATTTACTTTTACAAAAGTGGGACACATTTAAAAACGATACTTATGTTTTCATTCAGCAGGTCTAGGTTTGTAATGCACAGAATTTTTTATACCCACACAATCGGAATAAAATTCAAAGGTGAATCAGGAGATTCTTTATTTCTCATTTGCTTTCTCTTATCCAACTTTTAGAGTTGAATGAGTCCTCTAAATTAGTGAGGCCCACAGAGGACACACGTTAATAAATATAGTCGACTCATGACCCCTGTCCACTCCCTTAGCAACGGCTGATCTCATGCTATGCTAAATGTCAACCGGTAGGGAGTTCTCCAGTACTTGGAACATTTTTGCTCACACCAGGAGAACTGGGTATTGACAAAGAGTCGACTTCCTTGCTCTAAAACTTGTATGTGACCATTAAATATTGCAGAAACTGTTGAAACATATGAGAAGAGAATTGCTATCAGTATAAATACTAAATAGGAAACTTGGGAAAGACAGGGACAAGCAGGTATTACAACTCTGCTGACACATGAGGAGCAGGTGAGTTAACCTAAAAGACCGCAGAGTAGCGGGGGGTGGGGAAGCAGTAAAAAAATCTAGAGAACTTTGCACTCGGGCTGCTTTGCTCTTCTCTGAAGAAACCCAAACTGGCAACTGTACTAATGCATTATGGATATTTACTGTAAGAAAGATCGCAGGAAATTCCTCTCGGTAGACAAACACTTTGTCAAAAACAAAACAAAACCAAACCAAACCCTTGAGGTATGTGGAAAAATTGGCAACTAAATACCTATTTGTATGTTTTGGTGGAAATGTTTGTGGCAAGCATCACCATTCTTTAATGATTAAGTGGCCTTGAACAAGGTGGAGACATGGGCTTGCTTGCAATAGGTGCATGGAAATTAAAGGAACCATCCAGTGACGCTGTGTATGAAACAGACACACAGATCTGAGAAAATCTCCCCTGGCTCCTGTTCTCTGAAGATATCCAGGGTTAAAAGAGATCAGAATTCATACCCAGAATAGATGTGATCTTCTCACTGACGGTCTCAGAAACAAAATCAGAATGGAACTCAAAGGTTCTCAAAGGCACAGCTCGGCCTTTATACAGCTTCACCTTCTTGGCATATAGTTAGCGCTACAGAAGACCTGCGGTCTCAGTGAGCGAACATGAAGGCACAGGGACACCACCATTAATGCCAAAAGGCTTCCCTAATAGCTCTCTTTATAGCTTTACCCAGAGCCCAAACGCCTCCATCCCTGCCCACAAGACGGGTCTACGCCCACCAGGGATTCGCCTCTCACCTTCTGACGCTGCTGAATGTTGGCCACGGTGTCGGGCTGGAAGTCCAGCTTGTCTGTGCGGCAGAGTTTCCAGTAGAGGATGACCACAATCACCATCACCACCAGCACGGGAATGACCACGCCAACGATGACCCACAGGTTGCTGCTCTGGGACTCAGGCGACGGCCTCTTCACCCTGTCCACGGCTGCGGACGAGGAAGACAGGTTACAGGACAGCCCTCTGGGCAGTGAATGTGCCACCTTCTATGAGAAACCTGGGAAGTCCTGTCATTGCCGCTCAAGACAACTGGTTAGAGGCTATGATCTGGTGACAAGAAACGCAACCAAGTAAACACATACCACACAGAAGGTTCCACGGGGAACACATCAGGGCTATGGTGATACAGAGGATGTGTCTAAAGGAACATGGCTAATTCAACAGCAAAGCTAGGTTCACTCCAGGGCTCCTGCCTTTCAGTGTACAAGTTCGCCCTCATTCTTACTGCAGGGATGCTTCCATACCGACAATTAGAAATCCTAAATGTAGTCTTTGAGCACTGCCTCAGTTTCCTCAGCTGTGTCTCTCCCTAAACCTGTGGCACTTGGCTTGTAATTGAAATTGCTTTACATGAGGTACCAGCTGTCCATTTTAAAACCACATTAAATCACTTCCTTTTTCCCATCCCCGGCCAGCTCGGCGGCTGCTCTTGGTCGGGGGTCGTGCTACACGTAAGGCCGCAAAGACGACAGAAAAAGTCGCTGGAGTCGATCAGCTCTAGGCTCCAGGTCATTACGAAAAGCGAGAAGTATGTGCTGGGGCACAAGCAGACTCTGAAGGCGGTCAGGCGAGGCGAAGCGACACCGGTCCTCCTCGCCCGCCACGGTCCTGCCTTGAGGAAATCAGAAGGGGGGTGTTACGTAACGTTGGCTGTGCGGGGCCCACCACCACGGGGACAATGGTCCTGAACCGGGCACCGCGTGTGGAGCATGCTCCAGAGTGTGCACACTGGCTGTCACGGACCCCGGTGATTAATATCAGAAGCCAGAACAGACGGGCGAAAAGTTAACCATGCAAATTGTTCTGTCATAAAACTGGCCGGAGCTTGTTTAAAAAAAAAATAATAAAGTAAAATAAAATCACATGAAATCAAACTTGGAATCCACCACTCCCCACCCTCCAGCCGCGCCCGCCGCATCCCCCCATGTTCCCCGGCCTTGGACGGTTATGGTTCAATTACTCTGTCCTAAGTTCCTTCGCCATCTCCTTTCCCCAATCCTGCCTCCCAGAACGGGGCCCTTGTCCCCTTCGCTCCGTGCTCATACCTTCAGAGGACTTGGCTCTCCTTAAAGCTCAGGGTCCAGCCCCCAGGCTCCAAAACACGACATGACCCCTCCTGTCTGCCCCCCCTCCTGGTCTGTTAGGCTGATTCATAACCACCTCTCCATGGTACTAGCTTCCCCTTAACTTTCGTTCTGGCTGTCTTTGTCCTGCGGACGGGACCTTACTATTTCTTTTAAGATGCACTTGATTACATAAGTGTATCATGTTGATGTGCTAGGCTACTTTGCTCATGAATATGGCCGTGGCTCTAAGTCTTGTCTTTTCAAATACATCTCAGTCTCCAGGAGCAGGGACTACGCTTTGCACTGTTTTGCATCCCATTAAGGTTAACACATGCTAGGGGAGCGAAATGCTTCTGCTCCAAGATGTAACAACAAAAGCAATTCTAGGTGCTGCTCTAGGTCCAGATTGAGGCCCCCAAGAGAGTGACATGGGAGGGGGCCAGCACTCGACAGCACACGCGCCATGAAAAACGCACACATCACAGAGCAGAGACCCCATAGGAAACAGAAAAGGAGACCGTGATAAAAATGTGTATTTTTAAATCTGGCCCAACGATACCTCGTGTCGCATGAAAACAACTAACAATATAGAAAGAGGGACAGAATCACACTGAGGGGCTGGGACAACTGGATGCTCTTCTTAGTTCTCCCCCAGTAAAACCCTGCGAGAGGCACAGATGGATCGAAAGGCGGCCCTGACACCCAGACCCACAGCTGCCTCGGGCTGGTCCCGGTGTCTGCTGCGGCGTCCAGTCCCAGGACTGTCACCCCTGTGGTTTCTGGCAGGAAAGAGAGGTGCACAGAGCAGATGGCCGTGAGCCTGAAAGGTGCCCGTGCCCTGCTGCCGTTCACCTTTTTAGAAGGAGAAGCGCTTAGCTGGAGTGGGGCGCCTCTCCAACAACCAGGGATGCCATCTGGGAAAGAAAGGCCAGTAAGTGCTTTATTTTTTTCTCACTGCTTTGAAATAGAACCCACTAATATGCAATCACTTTCACCATCGGCGGATGGTGATTTGCTTACAGTCTCCCCTCACCTCCTATAAAATGGAGAAAGTGTGCCTATTAGCCCTGCTCCTGATCAGTCTCCAGGGACGAGTGTAGATTTCACAAAGAATCTCCCAGGGCCAAGGATGATTTTGAAGCTGCCCTTTTGTAAAGTTGCCTTGATCACCTTCCATATTCACTACACAGAGTTTTTCGATGTTGCCTGGTGCTGAATTCCTTCTAAACGTTTACTTACCTTTTACTGTTGGGAGCAAGTTATCACTGAGCTTTTACAAGGATTGCTCTTGGGATCATAAAGGAAAAAGAGTCACATTGAAATAGCAGTCTGATTCATAAAGGTATATTTAGAGAAACACACTCTCCGTGCCTCTCCTTTTCTTAATTTTAAATATCCAAAATCTGTGAGTTGGGGAAAAAAAGGCACTGAGATCAGCCATTGCCAGGGGGACAGGGGCCTAGTATCTTCCAAAAATAATAAAGAAATACCCAAACACCTCTTTCTAAATTGTGGAGCGGTGTGAGGCTTGGGTGGAAGAGAAACAGGATTGAAAAGTGTAAGGATCAAGGACTTCTTTGTGTGGAAAGACCTAGAAGGAAGCCAATGAGTGCAGAGAGCACCTCCCAGCTTCCTGTGTGACTCACTGTCCCCACCAACGTTCAAAATATGACACAGAAGATTTTGGAATAAATACAGAGAAAACACATTATTTTACCTTAGACAGGGCAGGGATAGGGGAAAAAATATTAAAGTTAACAGAGGTGACTATAACTCACTAGAGTGCTGTGAATACAAGATACCAGATAGGAAAGACTGCAATGAGGACTATAACCACACGCCATTGAAATAAAGAAGATCGTTTCCAATAACTTTTAACAACTAACATCTCATGTAAGTGCCACTTAATAATATGGGCTTAAGACATATGTCTACTAAACCCACATAAGAATGCTTCAAATTCAGAGTTCAGTGTCCAAAAAAGACTGGCAGCTGCCCCCCAGCACAGCACAGATGGCCCCTCGGGGCCAAGCCTCAGGCACTTACGTTGGGCTACAGCGCCTTGAATTCGGTAACCGAGAATAATAGCCGCTCTCTGGATATCTATCTTGTTAATCAGATCTGAAGACTTGACAGCACTGAGTCTTTCTCCATCCTGATCTTCCACGAAGTAGATGAGCTGCACAGGGTTGTCCTCTCCCTCCAGCCTTGACACATTTACCACCTGAAAGGTAACAGAAACCATCAGTATTTCAGAAGCTCGTGTTTTCAGATGTCCATTCTCTGGTCACTCAACCTTGACTATGTTATTCGGGATTTATCCCAATCCTCATAATAAGCTCCTTACACGATTCCGGGGTCCAGAATCCCCATGATGCTGTCTTGACAGGAAGAGGGACAGTTACAAAGAAAGCTCTGCCGTGCAGAACAACAAAGGAGCTTCATCCTGCTCGAAGTCTTCTCTGAGACAAAGGGCCCATCGCATACACAGACCACTGGGTTGCCAAGTCCAGGAATCTAGACTTGCTACCAAGAAGCTCCAAGTACGTCATGGGAGGGTGCTGCTGCCCTCATAACATCAACCACAAAGGCTAGGAACACCCCTGGTCATCTGAAACTATTAATGGTTCTAGACAATCCCTTCTCAAGTCTATCGGCATTGTCTCCCTGGTTGCCTGGGGCAGGGTTTCTCAACCTCGGTACTGTTGCCATTTTGGTCCAGATAATTCTTAGATGTGGGGGTCTGTACTGAGCATTGTGAGATGTTTAGAAGCATCCTGCTCTCTACTTGCTAGATGCCAGTGGCAACAGCCATGCCCTCCCCCACCAGCTGTGACAAGCGGAATGTCTCCACACAGTGCCAAAATGTACCTTGAGGGAAAATCGCCCCCCAGTTGAGAACGACCGCTCTTGGTATAATACATCTCATAAATTCTTTAACACCCCACCCTCAATAATGGATAGGTCATTCAGAGAAATAATCAATAAGGAAATAGCTCATTTGAACAATACTATAGACCAGATAAACCTAAGACACATGCAGAACATTCCATCCACTAGCAGAATACACATTCTTCTTACACGCACACAGAACATTTTCTAGGACAGACCATATGTTAGGCCACAGAGATAGTGTCAACATATTCAAGAACATAAAAATTTTATCAAGTACCTTTTCCAACCACAATGATGTAAAACTAGAATCAGTAATAGAAGGAAAAGTGGAAAATTTAAAAATACATGGAAATTAATGCACTCCTGAAACAGCAAATGCAGCAAAGAAGAAATCAAAAGAAAAATTACAAAATCTTAAAACAAATGAAAATGGAAACACAATATACCAAAACTTATGAGATGCAGTAAAAACAGTTGTAAGCAGAAAGTTCATAGCTACAAATACATACACCATGAAAAAAGAAAGTTCTCAAATAAACAATGTAATTGACACCTCAAGGAAAGAGGTAGTAAAGAAAAAACTAAGTGCAAAGTTAGTATAAAGGAGGAAATAATGAAGATTAGAGCAGAAATAAGTAAAATAAAGACTAGGAAAGCGATAGAAGAGATTAACGAAGTAAGTGTTGGTCCTTTGAAAAGATAAACAAAATTAACAAAACTTTAGCTACACTAACTGAAGAAAAGTGAGAGTTCTCAAAAATCATAAATGACAGAGGAGACATTACAACAGATACCACAGAAATAGAAAGGATCCAAAAAGACTACTATGAATAGTTATGTACCAACAAATTGGACAACCTAGAAGAAATGGATTAAGTCCTAGAACCACACAACCTATCAAAACTGAATCATGATGAAATAGAAAATCTGAACAGACCAGTAATAAGTAAGGAAATTAAATCAGTAATCAAAAAATTCCCAACAAAGAAAAGCCCAGACCCAGATAGTTTCACTGATGAAGTCTATCAAACTTTTAAAGAAGAGTTAATGCCAAGCCTTCTCAAAATTTTTGTAACAACTGAAGAGGAAGGAATGCTCCCAAACTCATTTTATGATACCAGCATAAAACTGTACCAAAGCCAGGTAAGGACACTGTAAGAAAAGTAAACTACTGATCATTATCTCTGATGAATATAGATGCAAAATTTCTCAACAAAATACTAGCAAACCAAATTCAACAGCACATTAAAAGGATCATACACCATTATTAAGTGGGATTCACCCTGGGATGAAAGGACAGGTCAACATATGCAAATCAATAAATGTGATACATCACATTATTAGATGACAATAAGAATAGCAAGAGCACTCGATAGATGCAGAAAAAGCATTCGATAAAATTCAACATTCATGCATGATTTTAAAAACTCTCAACAAACTGAATATAGAAGGATCATACTTCAACATAGTAAAGGTCACATGACAAACCCACAGCTAACATCATACTCAATGATGAAAGGTTGAAAGCTTTTCCACTAAGATCAAAAACAAGACAGAGGTGTTCATTCTCACTACTCCTATTCAACACAGTACTGGAAGTCCCAGCCACAGCAATCAGGCAAGAAAAACAAATAAAAGGCACCCAAATCAAAAAGGAAGAAGTAAAATTGTCTTTGTTTGCAGATGACATGATCTTATATATAAAAAACTCTACATACTCTACCAAAAACTATTAGAAAAAGTGAATTCCTAAATTTGCAAGACACAAAATCAACACAATAGAATCAGTTGTTTTCCTATAAATTAACAATGAACTATCCAGAAAGAAATAAAGAAAACAGTGCCATTCACAATAGCATCAAAAATGATAAAATACTTAGGAATAAATTTAACCAAGGAAGTGAAAAATCTGTACACTAAAGATTGTAAGACATTGATGATTGAAGTAGATACAAACAAATGGAAATATATCCCATGTTCACAGATTGGAAGAATGAACATTGTTAAAATGTCCATATTATCCAAAGCCACCTACAGAGTCAATGCAATCCCTACCAAAATTCCAATGGGATTTTTTTACAGAAATACAAAAAAAAAAAAATCCTATAATTTATATGGAACCACAAAAGACCCTGCTGACAAAGGAGTCAAGAATATTCAATGGGTAAAAGACAGCCTCTTTGTTAATGGTGTTGGGAAAACTGGATAGTCACATGCAAAAGAATAAAACTGGACCACTCTCTTACACCACTCAGAAAGTTAGTTCCAAATAGAAAGACTTAAATGTAACCGAAAACCACGAAGTTCCCAGAAGAAAGCATAAGGAAAAAAGCTCCTTGACACTGGTCTTAGCAAAGCTTTTTTTAGATAGGATACCCAAAGCACAAGCAACAAAAGCAAAAATAAACAAGTGGAACTACATCAAGCTAAAAGTTTCTGCACAGCAAAAGAATCAACAAAAATAAAAAGGCAACCTATATGATGTGAGAAAATATTTGCAAATCATGTATCTCATATGGGTTTAATATCCAAATTACACACGGAATTCATACATCCCAATAGCAAAATAATAGTCATTTTTGAGTAGACATTTTTCCAAAGACGACATACAAATGCCAACAGACATATGACAAGAAGGTGCGCAACATCTTAATCAGCAAGAAAACGCATATTAAAACCATAATGAGATATCACCTTATACCTGTTACAATAGCTAATATCAAAAAACAAGAGGTAAGTGCTGATGAGGATGTGGAAAAAATGGAATCCTTGTGCACTGTTGGTGGGAATATAAATCAGTACAGCCATTATGGAAAACAGTATGAAGCTTCCTCCAGAAGTCAAAAATAGAACTACCAAATGATCCAACAATTACACTTCTGGGTATGTATTCAAAGGAAATGAACTCCCTATCTCAGAGGGGTATCTGCACTCCCACCTCCCTGCAGCACTACAGTAGCCAAGACATGGAAACAGCCTAAGTGTCCACCTATGAGTGAATGGATAAAGAAAATGTAGTATATACACATACAATGGGATGATATTCACCAATAAAAACAGAAGAAAATCCTGCCATTTGTAACATGTATGGACCATGAGGCCGTTCTATTAACTGAAATAAGTCAGAGGTCATACTGTATGATCTCACCTATACATGGAATCTTAAAAAAAAAAAACAAACAAAAAAAACAACCCTCCTAGAAAGAAAGAGTAGCTTGATGGTTGCCAAAAGCTGGGTGAAGGGGAAATTGGTAAAGGTTGTCTGTCAAAGGGCACAAGCTTCCAGGTGTGAGTCTGGGGATCTAATATACAGCATGATGAATACAGTCCATAATACTATACTGTATATTTGAAAGATGCTAAAAGAATAGGTCTTAAAAATTCTCGCACACATCACACACACAAAACTAACGGTGAGCGATGAGTATGTTAACCACCTTACTGTGGTAATCATCTCACAATCTACAAGGTCTGTCCGGAAGGTGTCCAGCCATGTCACATGAAAAACAGAGACATTTATTGAACAAGGTGCAAGAAACACTGTTCATAGGACAATGACACCTCAGTCCCCTTCAAAGTAGGAGCCTCATACAGTTCTCCCAATCACCATCGGCTGCCCTCTTGTATTTTCCTGCATCTCATCAACGGTCTGAAATCTCTTCCCTTTCAAGGGTGATTTTAGTTTTGGGAAAAGCCCAAAGTCACAGGGCACCAAATGTGGGCTGTAGGGGGACTGAGTCACCTGGGTGATTTGATGTTTTGACTAAAAACTCTGCAGGAGATGTGATGCACGAGCAGGCACTTTGTGGTGATGGAGCTGCCAGCTGCCAGTTGCCCACAGCTGCGACCCTCTGAATCATTTGAATAGTTTCTGCAGAGGAATGTTGAAGCTTAACGCAAAATTTGATACAGATTTGTTGCTGTACTTGCTCCGTCATTTTGAATGCGACGGCCACACAGTACACATGCTCACTCAATGGCGTCTACCGCCCCTACTGACTAGTACAGTGAAGTCATCATTGTTCACGCATGCGCACTCCAGTCTACTCGCCTTGGCTGCCGGGTTACATCGATGTCACACAAACCGTTCTCATTATATTAACAATGGCTGCACTTTTTCCAGATAGACTTCATATACTTATATCAAGCCATCACATTGTACACCTTAAACTTACACATTGTCATCTGTCAATGATATCTCAATCAAGCTGGAAAAAATTCTCATACATTCATAATCCATTGGCTCAAAGAGTACTTTGATTTGTTGCAAAATTTCTCTCTCTGGTATTCAAGGTAGCCCTTTACATCAGTACTTCAGAATCTAGTACATCTGATACATCACAGGTTTACTTAAAGAGCTTTCTATTTTGCTATTTCTCTTATTAATATACAACTGCTTTATTGCCCCTGCAGACTCCAGCAGAATGCCAGCTGATGTTCTGAGCAGATGATCAACAATCACTCCCAGCCCTCTCGTTTATACACACAGTTTGAATCTTTGGCCGCTATACTTGCCATTAGCAGAAGAGCTGCCACTTTTCTAGCCACGTGTATAGAACTGTTATACTGCTGTGCACTCCAGACACGGCTGCTGGCCTCCTTTGCCCCTGGAAACTTCTGGCAAATCAACAATTTCAAGGTTTCACTGTGAACACCTTCTTCCAGGTCATGTACAAAGATCCTTAACGACACGGGTCCAAATCTTCATCCCTAAAGAAACTGTGCTCTAGGCCTCTCCATCCTGAGGGGAGCTCTTATCTGGCCTGCCCTTTGTGTGGTGTTTCTGGGCCAGTTCCCTGACCACTTCTGTTCCAAAACCACCAACTTTCTCTCTCCGAACTGTGCTGCACTAATTTTTTATTAGCCCTTAGGATGAATACTAACAATGGGCTCCGAAAACTCAAGTGCATTACACCCACCTATCCCTCTACCTGCATGCCTGTTTATTCCACTGAAATGTTCCGGTAAATTGTATACACGGTTTCTCCTTGCAGAGCCCACCCTTCCAACGGCCGGTGACACCCCCCTTAACTGGAGACTCTATACGCTCGTTCAAACGGAAAATAACGGTAAAATCTAACTCCACCATCCCTTCCGGATGACTCCTTATCGGGCTCTTATCTGGAATCCACGCAACCATGGTGGGATGGAGTCATCGTTTTGGGCAACATTTTCAATTTCATTTTTAAAATTATTTTCTGATTAAAATCACATGTTCACTATAGAAAGTACATGTTCATTGGAGGAATTTTGAAAAGAACAAAGAAGAATGTATAAACAATAAAATGAAAAGCACCTCAAATTCAACCAACCAAAGAAAATCACTGTAAACATTTTGGCATGTTTCCTCCCATTAATCTTTTCATGGGTCTTCTATTACTATTTGGAGTATATTGCATACACTCTTCCATAGCCTCTCTTCAGTCAAGGTGTTTTCTACATCACTCCCTGATTAAAAAAATGATAACGGCTGCACAATATTCCAACATACAAAGATTCAAGACAACTGTTGTACCTATTTCCCAACTGCTGGATATTTAGATTGTTTTAATACTTTCACTTTTGCAAATTACGCCGCTAAAGAGTCCCGGGCCCTGTACATAATTTCTTGTCTCCATCTTCACATCTGGTCACTCCAATGCAGATGAGAAGCGGGGCACGGCTGCTAAGCAACCCATGAGATGGCACTGTTATTGACGGATGGCTTGGTTCACTTTCACATGTCCAATATTCCCACCTTAGGGAGCTTTCCTCTCTAATCTAGCACCTCGTTTGTCACCTTAGGGTGCCTTACAACTGTTTCATGTGCATTTATTAACCTCCACCCAGACCTTGAGCTCTGTGAAGCCGGGGTTACTGAGTAAGGCCAAGTTTCTATAACTCATTTTCGTTGTTATTCTTTGTCTTATGTTTACATAAACATGTATTTGCTTTCTATTTATATTAATGTTACTCTCAACCTTTCATGAGTTTTTAAATTTCTCTACATTCTACTGCATCTGGCAAAGAAAACTATTTTAGAAACCTAACCACCACCTTTCTGGGAGGGGCAGGAGAGAGCAACACTTACAAGGAACGACCTGGTCAAAGAGTCTGGGGACAGTGACGGCAGCTCCAGGTCAGCTGCCACCGCCCTCCCGAGTCGGGTCTGCAGTCTCCTCTCCCTTGCCCCAGACCACCGGCCTCCCACCCCGCACTTCCGGTTTCACCCTGCGTTTCGTGCCTCTGGAACCCCGCAGAAGTAAATAGCCCCTTTTCCTAGCTCTACAAGCCAGCAGTTGGTAAAGGGAAAAAATCCAAAATGACATTAATGCACATTGAAATGGAAATAAATCACAGCCCCGCCTCCAGCTCCCTGTGAGCCAGTGCATTTAAAATGGGTCACTTTCTGATGGCAATGAATCTGTCATTTGTCACCTTCTTGCTAATTTATAGGGGAAGAATGTTTGGGGTGATACGGGACAACCATGGGTGGCTAGAAGAGAGGACCGAAAATTTTCCCCTTTCTGATTTCTTAAGATCTCCTCCCACTGAAAGATTTATCCCAATGATACTCTCAATAACAATACCATTCCATAATTGACTATATTTTGAGTATTAAAAAATTACTTTTCGAAAAATAAGGTCATCCCATGGCATGGCAACCCATTGACACAATCCTTTCACTGTGCTCCCTACAAGATCCAGGACTGACCACGTACCAGGGACTTGGGAAATATCTGTCCAGACTCTACTTGAACTGAAAGGTTGTCCCATTCAGTCGCCACCTAATACAGCAACCCTTCTACTTCAGAATTTTCTTGCTGCATTTCCCATTTGCATGACGATGCGGCAAGACTTTGGACTGCTCTCTCCCCTCCCCTCGCCCCCTCCTCCTCTGGCCTCCGTGGGTACCTACCTGCACCACGCTGTTGCCGGCGGCGACGGTGGCCCTTCTCCACATCCGCCTTCTGCTGGAAACCTCACTCAGCAGCTGGGCCAGTTTGCGCTCCATCTCAGCCTGAAACACTTCATTCTGAAGCTGCTTCTCAACAACGCCCAGGAGGACTATATTTCAAGTGAAACACAGGCCCGAAAATGAGTTAGTGATGGAGAAAAAAAGGTGTGTGTAGGAGAAAAATGCACACGGGGTCACCATAAAATGCCAATCTCTAGAGCAGTGATTTTCAACCTTTTTCATCTCTTGGCACACACGAACTAATTACTAAAATTATGCAGAACACCAAAAAATGGATTATATTTTTTTGCCGACCTGACAAAAAAAAGAACGGTATGATTTTCATTCATTCACACTGGATGGCTGTTGTTGTATTGGCTGTTGCCGTTTTTTAATTCGACAGTGTAAGGGAAAAGAGTAAATAGGTACTGCATGTCTTAAAAGTTCTTGTGGAACACAGGTTGAAAATCGCTGCCCTAGAGGGGAGACATTAAGGCGGGGGTGGGGGCGAGGGAGGAGCCAGGGAGTGCTGCTCAGGGCTCTTAGCCACAGTTCCAAGCTCCACGTGTGACAAAGACTGGTGGCCAGAAGTCCCAGGAACTCAGCAAGGCAGGCGCTTTTGGGCTGAGAGGGCCTACACAAGACCGAACATTTTGTCTGCACTTATTTCAAAATTTCTGGAACTGGTTTAAGTTCGTATCTTATCTTGATTCATAAACTGACTCCAGATAAGGTGCTGGACTTCAGACATCTGCTGCAAACAAGATTATCTAAACAGACAATCTGCCAGATTTTCTTTTCAGCCAGCACTGGCGCAAATCCCCTCTGAGATAGGACCACAGGCAAGTCACTTAACTGCTATGAAAACTATCTGGGAAATGAGGCCACGGCCCCACACGAAGGGGCGGGGCCATTACATGGAATGTTGTATGGGAAGCTAAGGAGGCCTTCCAGGGCACAGGAACCCAGAAATGGTGACTGTCACCACTGTATGTTCTTCCTCCCTGTGACGAGTCGCACTGTGCCGCTCACACGCTGGGCACCGGGGAGCACGCACGCCCTCTTACACTTCTGCTCTGGGTCAGGGAGTCTTATCTGGCGATGCCATGGCTGTCAATACCTGACCCAGGCCCACAAGAGTTAAAAAAAGCTGCGTATTTCCTCACCAAGTGGCCTTATTTGTCCTTGTAAAACCAAACAAATAAGACTTTGAGAAAAAGAGGGAGAGCGCCTTGCTTCAGAACCTCATCCTGTTCTAGGTCGGAATACTGTCGGTTCCCGTTAGACTGCCCTGGACTTGATGTGTGCATTTTAGAGAAAGCCAACACTGTGTGTGCCATAACTCAGTAGGACGCAGTCTCACAGCCAGATCTGTGTCCCTTTCTCATTCGTTCTTTGCCAGGAGCTTAAGGTACACTATGCCCTGAATTGAGGCCTGAGAAACAGGAAAGGCGGTATCATTCTTATTAATGCCCGCACAAGCTCCTTATTCTTACAGTTTCCAAAACATGACGTAAGTGCAACCTACCTGTTCTTACCCAAGACGACTTCAACAGCTGAGACAGGTTGAGCTGCGGGTACTGGAAGGCTATAAAAAGGAAAGGGTGAGGGAGGAGAACAAATCTGTACAAAACACGTTTGCCACAGTCAGAAGGGCAGAGTTCTAGAAAACACTGGTGAGTCACAAGACGCTGCCTTTCCTGTACGATTTAGCACTAAATACAGAAGGAGAGGACGCCAGATCGGTGTGAAGGTATGGACAGGGAGCAGTCTCTGAGCATGTGAGTCCCACAGGGAAAGAGGGACAAAAATTAATAAGTAAAGGGCCTGCTCAAGTGACATTGTGGGACACTGCTTCACAGGATCACCCTTGCGTTCCTTTGGAAAAGTCCCGGTTCCACGGCAGTGAGTTTCCACACTGTGTTCCTCAGAGCCCCAGGATTTCCCGGCAGTGACTCAGGGGCAAGCGACCCCACGTCCTGGCTTGCGCGGGGCAGTGCTGGCGTACACCTGGGGTCTAGCCGACTCTTTCATCCCTAACTTCCTGTGTGTTACGGACAGTTGCTCAATGTAAATACCGATTTTATCCCTGTCGACTGCTACATTTGACAAGTTATTCTTTTTCATGTAATTAACCCTACACGGAATACATTTAGAATCATTAGGCCATTTCACTGTCCCATTTTAAATTTATTTTATTTATATTTTTATTGTGGCCTGATTTGTTTCTTTGTTTGTTTACTGTGGCCTGACTTCAACTCTGGAATCTACTGGTTTGGTTTTTTTGTTTTCTGCTTTGGAAGTAAATGTTTCTCCCACTCCCACCCCACTCCACTTGCACTATGAACCTAATTTCCAGGAAGAAAATGTTTGTTTTGTCTCCATTTATTACTTTTTTTTTTTCCATTATACACATAATAAAATTCACTTTTGGGGGGTCTGGTTTTACAGGTTTTGACAAATGCACGGCATCAGGAAACCACCACCACAGTAAAACTATAGAACAATGTCCTCACCTCCCAAAACTGCCTTTTGCCGCCCTTCTGTGGTCCAGCCTTCCTCCCACCCTTGACCCCTGGCAGCCACAGAGCTGTTCTCCGCCCCTCTGGTTTCCCATTTCCCAGAACTGGTCTAATCTTTAATAGCAACCCTCTCCTAGGAAAAGAGAATAGTAAAGAGAGGCCCCGTGGGTGAGGAGAGCCCTGGAGGCCCGCCTTCGCTTGAACCTGAGAAGCTCCAGTTTTATCTGACTTATATTCTGGATCTCCGCTAACTACGTCACTCGAGGAAAAGAGGTCCACCAACAAAAGGGCGCTCGGCCACGTTCCCGGCGCCAGCCAGGGGGGCAGCACTCACGCTCGGCGATCTGGAGCACCGGGTACCCCAGGTAGAAGCTGAACTCCACCACGCTCAGGTTCCTGAGCAGCTCGCTCACTTGTGTCCCGTTCCAAAACCCCTGCGTGCTCCTAACAGCAAAGACGATGTTCACCGGGCCCCGGCGAGCAGCCACCCTCGAGGAACCCACAGTGACGTTCAAGATCTGAAAGAAGGAAGTCGCAGTCAGCGTCTAAAATAAATGAAAACATCCCATTAAGAGCCTGACTATGATCTCTCTCTGACACAATTTCTCTCCTTGGTTTTTTTGTTTTGTTTTGTTTTGTTTTGTTTTGTTTTGTTTTGTTTTCAAAAAGAGGGAACATTTTTAAAGGAAGAAAAACAGGCGTCAATGGCTTGGTTCCCTTTTGCAATACTTTAAATCCCTATGGTTAATGAATATGTTTTTACATTAAGTGATGAGCTGAGCACCTCCCCCTTTTATCCCAAATCCCAGAGATAACATAAGCCTGAACAAGAGGAGTAAGTCCACAACAGCACCGAGAATGGGGGAAAACCTGAGATGCGGTCCAATTGCTGGAAAATGGAGAGAGGTTGGAATCATGTTGCTATAAACCAGAACGGAGGGACCAAGCCCCGAAACACGCAGGCAGAGACCCCTGTGGGGCTGAGAGTCGCCCTCCCGAGGGGGCTGAGGGGGCCAAGTGGGCTGAGGGGGCCAGGGCAGGCTCCACAGGGGGATCCACGGGAACCAAGAGCGGCTGCCATAGCTAGATAAAGGCTGCATGCCAAGGGGCCGAGTCAATTTCCTCCCTCCTCTCTCCTTTCTAACTGCCACACCCACACTGAGGGGCCAGGAGCAGCCACATCTCCACCCAGAACAGCCAAGGCACTGCTCCCGAAGGACAATGAGTTCCTTGCTTAAGAACGAGAGACTCAAGGCAGGTTAGGCGCCTAAGCAAGGAGGCGGGTGGGGACTGCTCACAGGAGATGAAGGAGAGAAAATGAAATAAAAGGCAGCTCTGTCATGATAAATACACCAACGTGCTCCATCCCAGTGTACAACCTCCTTATCTTGCACTGAGGGCGGGGTCCCGGTCTGCCTGTCTCGGACCAGCCACAGCCACCTCTCACGTGGACTGCCCAGTGCCCAGAGCTCCACTGAATCTCCCATCAGGATGCAGGGCTGACACAGAAACAGGCTGGACAGCTGAAGGGAAAAGCCGACAGAGCTGCCCAAATTAACCACCTGCTCCTTCACTCCTAACATCAACCAACCACCGGCCTCCAGGCACTTGCAGAAAACTAATACCGGGCGGCTGAGCTGGCTGGAGCGCTGTCCCGTACACCGAAAGGCTGACGGCCTGACTCCGGGCCGGGCCGGGGTGCCTGCCTAGGGCGCGGGTCTGAGCCCCGTCGGGGTGTGCACAGGAGGCACCCAATCAATGTTTCCCTCTCGCCCTCTCTCTCTCTTTCCCTCCCTCCTCCCTCCTCCCTCTCCCTCTAAAATCATAAATAGATCCTTAGGCAAGGTTTACAAAATAAATGAAATAAAATAATGTTCTTTGAATGATTTTTTTTTTTTAGAAAAGACCAAGATCAATACAGTACAATGGCTGCAAAAAAAAAACAGAGATAACTTAGGAAAGAGAAGACAACTTTTTAAAAACTCTAATGTCCTCAGAGACTTTCAAGGTGCTATTACATCCTCATGCAAGATAATCCTGCATCGTGGCAGGAAAGGCTGCAACAAAAAAGGAGCAATGAATAGCGACAAAAGATGGCTAAAACAAAACGCAAGAGAAGGACTGAGAAACACAATAAACACGGCCGGAGAGTAAGTTAATGACTTGGGAGACAAAACTTAGAACATCTGTGAAAACAGGGAATTATAAAAGAGATTAAAAATATAAGAAAAATTAGAAGTACGACAAGTGAATCCAGGAGCACCAAAATCTATTTAATATAAATTCCAGAAAGAGAAAGCAAAGAATAGGGAGGACAAAATATCAAAGAAACAAACACATCAACAGTTTCTATATAACATATACAAGGCCTGCTCTTAGATGAGTAGGTATATTCCCTGTTTTTAGAGTGAAGCACCTGCCTTTCGTGATATTCTATAATATGCAACACTACTAGTGTATTTAGGCATTTCCCCCGCTGGATATACTGTAAGTTGATGCAATTCCTTTTTAGCACCTTCTTGGCTTTCCTGCACATGCTCATCTCCCCTCAGAGCACCCACCGTATCTGAGCTCCCTGCTTATACTGCTCTGAGGCTGTGGAAAGAGAGCAACCCTGTTCCATGGGAACTGAATCCGCTCGGCTGGAGGGAATGAGCAAGAGTTAAGTGCACCTTCGGCGGCGGAACGTTAGGAAGCTCGTTCCCCTTTAAAGGCTCAAGCACCCTGTTCCGCCCGCGGTGCAGCTCTCACCTGCACCGTGAGGTTGTACGTGCCCTGGTGGTGTTTTCTCACTTCGGAGAGGGCTGTCCTCAGGCCTTTCTCGACGCGCTGGGTGAAGTTGCAGAAGCCAGTATCCACGCTCTGAGGCACAAACTGAAGGACTGCAAGAGAGACGGCAGTCACCAGCCCACGAGCCGGGCGGCTCTTCAGTTCCAGGGAGTAAGGAGAGGCGGAGGTAGTTCACCCAACAGGGTCAGCAGGCGTATTCATGTGCGTGTCATGAAAATGGAGAAAGCTATCTCTGCGCCCAAGGAAAACATGCACTGGGAAGGCGATGTTATCATTTTTAAATGGGGAAATACTTAACAGCACACTGAAACATTTCCAATATATATGAATTAAACCAGAGAGGAATTCTTAAGTATTTCTGGGTGAAATGACATGGTATCTGGTATTTCTTGAAAACACTCTGGCTTCCTCTAAAAATGTATAGGAGATCAATGAAACAAAATTGAGACAATCTTGATAATTTTTAAGCTTAGTGACAGGCATATGTGGGCTTAATGTGTTATTCTCTCTATTTCTGTATGTTTGAAAAATGTCCAACTAAAAAGTTAAGTATGATATAAAGAACAGCTGTGAATTTTAGGGGGTGTGGTAATGATATTATTGATAGATAATATATGTATGCATGCATGTACCTATGGATACATGTATATGCGTGTAGGTACATGTATGTGTATAGTTTAGTAACCTTTATCTTCTAGAGACATAGGCTGAAATATTTATGAAAGAGATGATGTCACCTCACAATAATGTGAGATATTCTCTAGATCGATCCATGTTGTTGCAAATGGCAGGATTTCAGAAATAAGTCAGAAAAAGTCAAGAACCATGATTTCCCTCATATGGATATAAAACTGAAAGCAACAAATGAACAAACAAGGACAACAAAAACTCATAGTCACAGACAACAGTACGGCGGTCACCAGAGGGAACGGGGGCGGCGCTGTGGCAACGGGGGAAGGGGCCCGTTTAGGGCGACGGAGGATGAACCGACTGCCGGGTGGGCACGCAACGCGGTCTGCCCGTCCTGTGCCACAGAAATGTGCACCTGAAACCTGCGTAACCTAATGGACCAATGTCGCCCCAGGAAGTTTAATGAAAACACAAACCAGCCAAAAAAATAATAATAATAATAATGCGAGAGGAAGGAACGGACATGGGGGTGTGGATAACACGGAGCTGACAATGGCTGAAACCGAGTGACCGGTGCAGGGGGCTCACTGAACTGTGCTGTGTACTTTTATATACGCTGGCAATTTTTCATAATTAGGATGTTCCTGAAAATTTATATAATTTTTTTCAAAGCCTCGCCAAATTTTCTTTAGAGCTTAAAAAAAAATAAAATGAAGTGAAATTCTATTTACAAGTCAAAACAACAATGGTCAGTGTCCTCACCCGTCTGCACTTGGAACCTGGTCTCCGGCACAAGGAAGAAAGGCCTCACTGCCAGGATCAAAGGCGTCTGGTCCCGCACAAGCTTGCTATTTATGAGCACATTTATGACGGATATTGCCGTGTACACGAAGGGGCCAGACGTCACCAGAAAAGTGAAGTCAGCGAACAGTTCATAAACCTATGAAAGACAGACAGACAGAAGATAATAACAATCAAGTTATTGGACACAATTACCATCAACCAAATTATAGGAACTTGTATTAAGCAGAAAAAATAATAAGGTAATAAATAAATAAATAGCTAGTTTTAAATGAAGGACTAGCGCATCGCACACAGTCGAAAGTTTGTTTTAGTCATTACTTTTACACATCTACTATCCTGCTCAAAAACAGCACAAAATTACAAGAGCGAGGACAGTGAGAAATAGCCGATGGTATGAACTAAATAAGGAGTTATAGAGAATTCAATGTGCTTGCTGGTATTTAACCCACATATAAAAAATAGTTCCTCTATTCAGCAATGTTTTCCAAAAGGAATATGTGAGCCACATAGGCAATTATAAAATTCCCAGCAGCCACATTTTTAAAAAACATTAAAAAAACAGGTGAAATTAATTTTAAGGACATTTGGCTTAACCCAATATATTTGACATATCATTTCAATGCAAATTATTTTACATCCTTTTTCCACTAAGTCTTTAAAACCCAGTGCGTATTTGGCACTGAGGGCCCACCTCAATTGAAACAAGCCCCATTTCACATGTTCAGTAGCAACACATGGCTCGTGGCTCCCTGTTGGGAAGGCACAGGGTCCATAGCGTGGCTTCCGAGCTCATGGGGGAGGGAGACATCAGCACAATGTCCAGCAGAAAACATCTGGAAATGTATCTCTATCTCACTGAATGTACAGAAATGTGCACATGCATTTTCTCTAAAATCTAATTTAAACTCAAATCCAAGTCCTTTCGTGCAAACAAAGAGAAGCAGCCCAGGCTGGTGTGGCTCAGTGGATGGAGCGCTGGTCTGCAAACCAAAGAGTTGCTGGTTCGATTCCCAGTCAGGGCACATGCCTGGGATGCAGGCCAGGTCCCCCGTAGGGGGCGTGTGAGAGGCAACCACACACTGATGTTTCTCTCCCTCTTTCTCCCTGCCTTCCCCTCTCTCTAAAAAGAAATAAAATCTTTAAGAGAGAGAGAGAGAGAGAGAGAGAGAAGCACAATTCTTTGGCTGTCATCCCAAACTCTGGGCCTGAAGCCCCTTTGTTCCAACTCTGACAGCACATCCCTCTGATGAACTAAACCTGGCCCAGTGTGCGGTCAGGAAGGGCTTCTCTGACAGTGTGACATTGGAGAAGAGACCTAAAGGGTGGGCAGGTGTTCATGGGCGGGGTGGGGGGGAGCATTCCATGCCGGCTGTCAGTCATGCGCCTTCACCTGGGCTCCCGGGTCAGACTCCCCCGTCGTGGGAACCCACCTTGAGCTCCACGGCGCGGTTGAAGTGAACCCTCAGCACCTCCTTGATGGACGTAATGATGTACTCCTGCACAGCCCTCCTGGCCAGCACTGCGAACCAGAGCCAACAGCAAATGTGGGTGAGCGTCGCCGTGAACAACGCAGGCATCGCACTCCCAGACCCCGAGGCGGGGCCCGTGCTCTGCCAGCTCCGAAAATCATTTTGTAAATAAGGCCCCAACGGGGAAAGCACACAGTGGATCTTTGACGTACCAGGTCAGCCATGCTCAGCCTCGGATCGGCGTGCTAAGAAAACCCTCGACTCTTGGCCGCGGCAGGGGAGACCAGGAATAAAACTGTCCCGGCCCCATCAGGGGGCAGAGAGCATGACGTTCTTATTTTCAACAAGAGGCAGTTCCTTCAGCATCTCATAAACGTTGTAACGAAACGACACTGTTCGAGAACCAGCCGTATTACTCTAAATAGTTCCTACGACCTACCACAACTCCCACCTTCTCGAATTCATCAGAGTAAGATCAACATTGGGGTATGAACCCAAGAGTCTTTGGGAAGGAGAATCATCAACAAACAAATATCTTATGGTTTCTCCAAATATCTACAGTTTCCCCAGAGCCAAGAGAGGTGAGAGCGAGCTCCTGAGGAAGCCCAGGGCCAGGCCGGCCCAGGCGGGGGGAAGGGTGGCCTCACCCCACGCTGGGTATGTGTGGTCAGGGACTTCCCAACAGCGCATCATGGATCAACAGAGTGGGCTCTTTCATTAAAGAGCTAAAAGATAAATAAATAAAAACGCATCACACTCTTTCAGAGGACAAAGAATCACCCCAACCCTCTCTTTCTCTGATGTATAATTACAAACAAACAAACAAACAAAAAAGGTCACTCTAAATGAAGATTCTAAATGAGATGATACTTCATGCGTGTCAAAATTATCACTGAGAGCAAAAGAAGGCACGCCTCTCCACTCAGAGACCACGTGACGGTATGGATACTTCCGCACAACTTCGCAGATTTATGCAAACTGTGGAAGACACATTTATAGTAGGAGTGGGCAAATTTTACCCCAAAATACTATTTAAAATAAATGGATCCCTAACGAGACACCAAATTCATTAAATGTATGTTATACATGAAAGTTAATCCATGCTACATATATTTGACATTCTGAGAGATACTGCTAAATGATTTCTAATTATTTGTAGACCAAATCCTAAAAGGTACATTATAACTAGAAGTATCAGAAATGTTATAGAATCCCAGAGATAAAGAACTTTCCGGGGCAGCTCTTTTAATGAGCTTCTTGTAACTGACCACTTTGTAGCCACTGTGTTACAATCCTGTAGCAAGGGAGAAAAGCTGTCCTATTCCAAACCCTTTGAGCTCTTCCCTGGACTACTCTGACCCCGAAGATGAAAGCTCACCCCTTTGCCCAACCTCCTTTCCTGCGCAGTTGCCTCCTCCCATTACACAATCTAACGGCCAGCCAAGCTGAATGTCCTTGGGCTGTCCCACCCCTCCACCCTCACCCTGGAGGACACTTCCTTCCACCTTCAGATGACAGCCTTTTGCTCACATTTGACGTGACCTCCAATTCACGCCCTTCCAAACCCGTCCCTGATCACCCCAAACGGCCACTCTCGCAGGACGCTGCTTCAACCGTTCTCGACACTGCTGCGAGAACACAGGGCTCCGCATCCGCCTGCCGGACTCCACGCGCCTTCGCAGGACTGGAGCCATGCCATGCCTCTCTCTGTTCACGTAAAGCTTCTTAAAGTGCTTATACCCACTCAGTGCTCCATAATTACTGGTCCCATGAACTGACAAATGGCTGTCTCGTTTGGGGAGGGCGGAGGTGGGAGAGCAAAGGCTTCAGCTGCTCCCAACCCTCGGAGGGTGGCAGCTCCCCTACAGCGAGCAGGGGGCGCGTGGCCCACGCCACACAGCATAGAGCACAAAGACCAAGCACGTGCTGCTCCTCCTTCCCCGCCTCCGCCTTCCCTTGTCCTCCCTTCCGTCCACGCCACGCCTCCTCTGCCTCCCCTGCCATCTTCTCCCCCGTTGGTTCATTCCGACCCCTCATCCCCGCCAAAATCAACCCACGGGGCCAGGCTGCTCACCCGTAGGGTGTTGCATATGAGTATGACCATACGAGCAGGTCACAGGACTTCATGCAGCCCTGTCCTTTCTCATGAAGAACAAGTTGGGGGCCCGGTGAAGCAGGCCTGGTCCCTGGACTGGCACCGACATGACAGCAAACGGACTCCAGTTTCACGGGACAGGCAGCTGCACGGACGATGCCGCCTGTCGGCTAGTCACTCAGGTTTGCTTCAGCCCTATTTTCTAAGCGTCCACTGGGTCACAAGTTCCAAGGACACATATCCTAGCACACTGCGTACCGCATAGAAATCTCTAAGACATACGCCAGGGTCGAATGACCAAAATACAATGTAACTGCAATGCTTTATGGATTCGTGCAATTATATAGTTTTTCGTAGATTGACCTGCATGGTTTCCACCAATGATATTGCTTCATTCAATGTGGACAAAACAGTGTGCTGACATCTAAAGTCCATAACAGATGGCGCGTGAAAAACGAGAAAACCCGTGAGGGGTACGCAATGTGCTAGCAAAAGCTTTTACGGTTTGTTTGAATCTTTTATCTGTTCTTATTCTACTAACTGCTATGCAATTTTAGTGGGCGCTCCTTAAACTCCCGGCACTGGGCTATTTCCCATGCATTCACGCATTTAAATCTCTATAAGAACCCAACGACATGGGTGCCACTATCACCCTTGTTTAATCACGGAGGAGCCTGAGGCTTGGCGAGGCGAAACACTGTCCGAAGGACTCACGGCTGATCGCCGGAGTGCGGACCACTCGCCCAGCGGGCCTTGGCCTCTACCGCCGCACGCCCCGCCACGCGGCTGCACGTCCCAGAAGCATTTCCTACAGCACCCGAGGGAGACGACAAAGCAGCACCTTACCAGTTGTGATCAAGTAGGCGTCAGGAACTGTGACATCGCACACGTAGGGCGGCTTGGTGGCGAGCACTGCTGGAGTAGTGGCTTCAGGAGCGGAGGTGGACACGGGGCGAAGGGACGGCGAGGGAAGAGCCGCGCTGCTCTCGTGGGGATTGTGACTCTCAGGGCTGCTGATCAGGACGGTGCCCACAGCGCTGTCACGGGTAGCACTGGTGTTGGGTGTGCCCGGGACAGCGGAGGTGTTCATCGCCGACTCCGTGGGGGTGGAAGACGGGCCCACGGACCTAGGCTCCGTAGGTACAGGTGAGGGGACCGCTTCAGACACAAGCGAGGACGCTGATGATGGGGACTCGGCGGTGACCAATACTGTGCTGGTGGGAATGACCCTGGAGAAAGAGGATGAGACAGACGTGTGATCAGCCATAGCACTGGTATCACCATCAAAAGGCGACGGAGTCGAAAAGAGAGATGATCCCGTTAAAGGGGGTGTTGTATGGAAAGCAGTCAGAAGTGATGTTAAGTGAGGTCCCGGAGTCCACATGTCAAAGGTGGGCTCCGAACGGGAGGGCACCAAGGTTGGGGCTGCAGGTTCGTGGGACGTGAGTGGAAACTCAAAATCGGAGGTAGTTGCAGTGGTGGCCGAGGTAAAATGAGCTTCAGAACCTGTCGGCGAAACTGCTGATGCTTCTGAGAACTTGAGGGACTCCGAGTGGACGCTTGACAGAAGCGACATTTCAGAGTCACTAGGTAGAAAAGTGGATGCATTGAAAAGAAGGTCCGAACTTGGCCAGAGCTGAGGAAATTCCAGGTTCGTGGAATTAGGAGCAGAAAACTGAGGTGGCTGCAAATGGATCGAGTCGGACAACGTGAATGTCTCGACCACAGTCGAAAAGGCCCAGGAAAGCAAGCCTGGCAGATCGCTTGTCATCGGAGGCGGAGAAGCAAGGGCTCCCGAAGGCGAAGGAGCCCAGCTGCTGACCTCCAGGGGTGGCGTTGAGAAAAAGCCGGATGCAAACTCCGACGTACTTCCAGCGTCACGGAGGGAAACGCTGGCAGGCTCTCGGTCAGGGAAAAACGGAGCCTCGACGGAGGGATCCAACGCGTAAGAGGAGGAGAGAGCTGGGTCCCGGGGAGCCAGCGAGGGCGTGTTCACATTTGCTGTAATAGAGAAGGACAAGGACGAGTCAAGGAGGGCGCTGGTGGTGACCGAGGGAAACACGGCTGTCACACTGGGCGGCGTTACTTGAGTTTCAGCAACAGAGGAGGAGCCAAAGGAAGCGGTGTCAAGCGACACTGGCAGGGAGAGGTGGCCGTGGGAAGGAGACACTGGCACAGTCATGACACTACTTGTGGCCACCTCGGCCGAAAGACCAATGCTTGTTTTGGAGATTTCCACCGATGGAGAAGAAAGTGGGACTATTGGTCTCGAGGGGAAAAGTGTATTATATTCTTGAGGCTCGTCCTCATACTCAGAGAAGTCCACTGCTGTGCTGCTCAGCGGAGAGACGCTGCTCGCTTCCCATACGGTCGCGGTCTCAGCACCGTCCCCCGATCCCACGTCTTTCTCCATGAGGCTTGGTGGCGGAGCGTGCCACGGCGATGCCATGGTGCAGGACACGCACCGTGTGTACGGTCTGAGTGAAGACGCTGGGCTCCAGACGTGGGTGTCACCCGCGTGACCTGGGACCGCTGAACTGCCAGGCAATTCTGGTGCAGCACTGGAGTTGCGGGGAAGAAGGGGGTTATGTGAAACATCAGCTGACTGAGGAGCAAAGGACACAGACGCAGGGAGAACTGAGGACAAAGCTGAACGGATGCTGCCGCTTCCAAAAGCAACGGCTGTCTGGGACATAGTTGCAGTGGGAGATGTTCTTGGAGAGATGGTTTCTTTTAGACTCTGACTCAAAGCGGTGGTCACTTCGGGGTACCTGTCCACACCTGTGGCTGGAACATCCCCTGGAGACGCTGAGACCTTCCCCGAGGTGGGAAATGGCTGATGGGTGACGCCATCGCCTAACGGCTGAGACACCGAAGACGCTGAGCCGAAAAGAAGGGTTGCTATGCCCTCTATTCCTGAGGCCGCGGTCCCCAGCAAAGTCCTGCTTGACAAGTGCCCATGAGGGTCTGTAGGAGAAAGCACCAAATGCCTGCTAGGAGTTGGAATTATGCTCTCGGCAGGGAGAAAAGTTGACCGACAAGCACTGAAATGACCGGGGGAGTCAGCACACGTGGCTGGCGGTCGTACGGCGTCTTGCCAGGCTGACGCCGCTTCTTCGTCTTGTGAAGAAATCACGGGTAATGATGGAGTCAGTGCGGAGCCTGGTGTTTCTTTGGGCAGCCCCGGTGGGCTGGCGGTGATGTCCTGCATCGGGGAAACCACGCGGGAGGTGGTCCACTGAGTTTCTGGCAAGAAGTTATCCATTTCATCCTCCTCTAGGCCCAACTCATTGCTTATCACTGACACGGAATTGGCCACAAAGATGCTGCGATCTGTTGTACTTTGGGTCAGCTGTCCTTGGCTTAAAAAGGCTATATCAAAAGTCGTGGCAGGTGGGGAAGGTGGGACACGGGGAGAGCGGCTGGGCTGGGGCCCCGGGGCAGTTTCTGTTAAGGCCACGTGTGCGGTGCTGTGCGCGTTGCTCCGCTGCAGCGGGAGCTCCGCGGAGGGCGAAGGGAGGTTGTGCTGTTCCAGAGCGCGCTCGCCTACAAAGCCAAGAAAAGCTGGGTCAGTTGCAAGGCCAGGCAAGTCACACTGCTCGGCTTCTGATTCAGATATAAAAATTTTCCCTTTCAACAAAGACCCACTCGCTGGGGACAGTCACGAGTCACAGGAGTCAAAAGCTAATGGGCAGCCAGAAATTGCTGGCATTACCATTCGGGTAACGTCTGCCAACAGTCACACATAGAGTGTCCAGCTTTGCTTAAGCTCGGGTGCGTGTACACAATGGCATCCTTCTCCTGCTCTCTAACGTCACCACAGGATCCTGAAACCAGGGAGGCCTCGGGAAGTTGTCGAGCCTGTTCTCTCTCATTTATCACATGAGAAAGATGTTCGGAGAAGGTAACCAAGCCAATTTCATGATCACCCAGACAGAAAGGGAGCAGGACTCTCAATGCAAGCCTGTCTTTGCTCCCAAGCCCAGGTCCTTTCTCTCCCACAGAGCTGGCTCTGCAGAGAAATGAACGTGACAACTCTGACAGCATCGCTCGCTGCCCAGGGAAGAGGGCCCAACGGTCTCCCAGTCAGATGGCCGGCCACATCCGGCCACATCCAGCCTGGGCCACCTGCAGGCCCAGCTCTTATCACTGCCCGCGGCAGCCTCACGCCTTCCCCACTATGCTCTGCCCAAGTGAGCGCCCTGCAGTTCCCGAATCCAAATCTCTCTGGCTCGGTACTATACACATTCTTGTCCCTCTGCCTGGAATGCCGTTCCTTGGCTCTGCCCCTGGATGGCAAACGCAGCACAGACAGCCCCTCCCTCCTCAGGGTGGGTGAGTCCCTCTCCCTAGCTTCTACTGCCATACCCCACCCCATGCCCCCCCGAGAGCAACTGTGAGCTTCATGAGGATGGGGACGGTCGATCTGTTTCCTTTTCATGAAGAGCTCAGTAAGCGCCTGCTGAATGAATGAATGAATGAATGAATGAATGAGTGAGTAGTGTCTGAGTATCAAGCTCTGACGCACCGAAAGCATCCTATTATCTTCTCAAACGTGTGCAGTCCCTGTCCTTGTGACGTCTTTCAGTACCATCTAAGTGGTCTAGGGTCTCCACCTCGGATTCAGACACGCTGCACAGAGAAGCAGGACACGTGGTGGCCGCAGCCCCTGGCGAAGGCCCAGGGCCCACGGTGCTGTCCACTGCAACACAGGCTGAGGACTGAGCCGCGATCATGACTCGTAACAACATCCTCCTCCCACTTACGCAGACAATCCATCAGAACACAAGTGGGTGGGTTCGCAGAGGGATAATCCTGAATTTGCCCTTTTTATTTTTCAAACATAAATTATTTCTATTCTATTCCCGACAATCTGGCAGACTATAGATCTCAAAGCCTTGCCACTTCATAACGCCTAATGATGCTGAATCAGTCTCCAAAAACACCCTCCTATGTGACTGAATGAGCCTTCAAGACAATAGAGGACATGTGCTATAAGTGCAGGAGCAAAGTAGGAGCTGGAGCATGGAGATCATCGAACATTGAAGTCACCGGATAGCCAAGAGGGACACTAAGCCAGGCAGCCTAATGCTTAGTACATGGGGGAATGAGGGACAAGTGCTGGGCATGGACAAGTAAGGAACCCAGTTAAAAGCCATCTCCCAGAAGCGGAGACCCAGGAAGGGCCAGGGGCCCCGGGGAGGCGTGGATAAGGAAGAAAACGATCCGCCCCCCAGAGGAGAGCAAGAAGGATCTGATGCCGGTCTGACTTCACGCCGCTCTGTTACAAAAAGTCTCCCCGCGTTCGAAACTGACACTATTTGTATGGTCTGAAAGCGTATGTGCTGAGAATCATAATTTGAAGTGGACCAGGTCTCCAATGCCTACCAGAGGCTAACATAAACCACCTCCAGAAAAACAGACTCTCAAACCGGACCCAAGGACTCTGCAGCTAGAATTCTATCAAATGACTGCAAAACTTAAAATTACAAAACACATACGGAAATCGGGTACTATGAGGAAAAAAAAAAAAAAAGCCAAGAAATCGCCCAAAAGAAAAAAACACACACAAACAGTATCAAATTTATAAAGACTTCACAGACTGGAATTATAGAATATATTTTTAAAGTGCGTTAATTCATTTAAAAGAACAAAGAAGGGACAGAAAGCAGGAGTAAGGAGAGAAGGCTATGCAAGTGTCTAAAAAGACTTGGAAAAAAACACTTAGAAATAAACAAAATTAATTTACATTTTAAAACTCAATACACAAAAATAATAAACAAAAACATCAATGTAGACATAGCTGAAGAGAGGTTTCATGAACTGGAGGATGTATCTAAGAATGGAGCAGAGAGAAAATAAAAAGATGAGAAATAGAAAAAAGACATTAAGAGACATGAAAGAGAGAATGAGATAGCCCAACATATATTTGATCAAAGTTTTTAAAAGAAGTGACAGAGGGAATTGGGTAGAGACAATTTTCGAAGAGATAACAGTAAGAATTGTCCAAAAGTAGTAAGAGACAGGAATCCTTCAATTCAGTAAGACCATGAAATCTCAAGCAAGGTGAATGTTTAAAAAACCCACACCTACACACATGATGATACCGCCAAAGACAGAGACATTGGAGATGCAGCCAAAGAACAGGAATGGCGATTATACCCTCAGACACCTGCTCTGCAGACTGGGAGCCAAATGATCTCAGCACATCTTCAAAGTGCTAAGGAAAAAAGACCCTGACCTCTTAGATTTGAATAACCAGCAGTACTCTCCATTCTTAAAATAAGGACGTTTTCAGATAAGCAAAAAGCGGTTATACCAATGAAAGACCTTCCGTAAAGAAGGCTTTCTGAGCGAGGACCATCCCGGATATAGTTGACAGGTTCTGTGGCTTTAAGCAAAACAATGAATCAATTTTACCCTGGCTAATTGATATAAACAAGAGTTAAGTTCCTACAGTATCTCACTGACATTTTATCAAAATGATATTGAACAAAACAATGACATTGGAGGATCTGCTACACTTCAAAAGGAACGGTATTGTCCCAAAAGAAAAATCTGAGAAGAAGGAATAGAGACTGAATAAATGATAAAGGGAGTATGGTTAAATCTAAACAAATTCTGATAGTATAAATGAACAATGATGCTATGCCCTTTGTGAGGTTACAAAAAACATAATATAGAGTTAAAATAGTTTACTGCAATCACACAAAAGCTGAAAAGTGGTATCCAAAGGTATTTGTGACTCACTAGCAGAGATGGAAATCAAGAGTGAAGACAAAATTCTGTGAACACATTTTTGTGTATTGATATATATACTAAAATTTATAAATAATATTTGGTCATATACTTATATAGATAAAATATTTCTAGCTGGTTCCATTAGCATCTGAAAAGTCACAAACATACAAGATAAAAGCTGCTTACTTTGAAGAGTCATATTCCTTTCTACATAATACCTCAAAAAAAATGAACAGTAAAAGAAGAAAACCATTTCTTAGAGATTTTAAGTCACTTCAATATTACTCAGCATTTGTTGTGTTGTAGACAACCTGGCTCTAGGATTTCTTGTCTATGTGCTTTGTTAACCATTCACCTGTCACATTCCAAGCATAAGAGCAAACATGATACTTATTACACAAGATAAAGTAACAGTTTTTCTCTAGAAAAGGTTAAAAATTATACATTTAACAAGTTATGAAATTAACATTCTGTCCAACCATGTAGCAGATGAATTTGAACGTTTTCCTAAGGAAAAACCATTTATGTGTCTATTTTAAAATAGCTATGGTAGCCCTGGCTGGGTAGCTTAGTTGGTTAGAACATTGTTCCTATACACCAAGGATGTGAGTTCAACCCCTGGTCAGGGCACATACCAGAAACAACCAATGAATACATAAATAAGTGGAACAACAAATTGATGTTTCTTTCTCTTTCTCTAAAAATATCAATAAATAAAGGAAAAAGTTAAAATTTCCATGATAAAATTTATTTTGATATGTAAGATCTGAACATGGAACGAGATTTCTTTATCAATGAATCAGAAACATATTTATATTACATTTATATCTCCAGGAGACTGCAAAAGTAAAATAACAAGGAAAAGCACCATTTAGTCACTAATTTATGATCCCAGGTATCTGACATAAATTAGAATTCAATAAACTCTGCCTTCAAAGGACAGGGGACAGGAAAGACAAAGTGGTCGAAAGGATGAAAAACTCCGAAACTTCCTATTAATAAATGTGCGGTGTGCCAAGCAGTGCCACTTGTTTTTTGTTTTGTTTTGGTTTTGTTTGGTTTTTTTTTTGGCCAAGCCCCAGGAGAGAGACACCAGCACGGAAGAGAGAGCAGCTGAAATGTCACAGGGAACTACTTCTGGAATTAATTCAGGACGAGGTTAGAAAACCCAGGTGAGTCCCTCTCCCGGCAAAAAAGCCTTCGGGGACTCTAATTTCAAGCCCTGGAGATCCATTTTCAAGCTCAACGCATGAGCTCACAAAAGGCTGTCTCCATCATCACAGAGGGCGGTGCTGGGAACGCCGGCGCTCCCTGACGTGTGCATGCACCCAAGTGCCAGGGAGCCTGGTGTACACGCGGACGCTGTCCAGCAGGGCTGGGGTGGGTGCTGAGCTGTTGTGCCACCCCCAGAGGGGCCAGGTCTGCAGCCACATTCTGAATAGCAAGTGTGGCTCCCACAGAGATGGCACAAAGTGTGCTTATTGGGCGCCTACCTTACACGCCGTCCTGGGCTGGGTTCCTGCCGTGCCGACACGGAGCAGCAGGCAGAGGGTGCCCTCCTGCCTTGCTGAGGCATCACGCTTAAAAATCTGCAAGGCAAACCCATGGGTGCACAACACCCAGAGCGAGCCCTGGGTACAGGTGACAACGCTGTGTCACTGTAGTTCATGGTTTATAACACACCACTCAGACGGGGAATGTTGATAAGGGAGGGGGCTGAGCAGGTGTCGGGGCACAGGGTACATGGGAAATCTCGGCACCTCCCCCTCAGTTTTGCTGTGAACC